CCCAGATTTTTTCAACCCACTGTAGAGGGAGGGAGTCATCCGCTAGTGATCGGGTCATTAGATCTAGGGGGACCACATGGGACTTAGACCAATTCACCCTCAGCCCTGAAAAACTCGCAAAGGTGACCAAAATTTTCAGTGCGGCCTGTAGGGACGGGCACGCATCAGCCAAAAAAAGGATAAGGTTGTCTGCATAGAGCGCCAATCTCTCCTCTATACCCCCTATTTTTAGGCTGCCGATCTCTAGTGACGAGTGGAGAGCAAAGGCCAGAGGCTCCATCACCCAAGCAAACAAGCTCGGAGATAAAGGGCATCCCTGACGAGTGCCCCTCTCGATCACAAAAGCTTCAGATAGGAGGGATCCAATCTTGAGAACTGCCCTAGGGGCACTATATAGGATACTGATCCATCTGCGAAACACAGGACCAAAGCCCATCAATCGTAGTACCTCCCACATGTACCCCCAATCAACAGAGTCAAAAGCCTTGGCCACATCCAGCGAGGCCAAGGCCCTAGAGCCCGTGTTGTCATGGGTGAGTTTAATATTAGTGAACAGTCTGCATAAGTTAGTGTCTGTAGACTTGCCTGGTATAAACCCGGTTTGGTCAATATTTATCAGGGATCCCAGAACGCTAGAGAGACGCATTGCCAGTACCTTGGTTAGTATTTTTAAATCCATGTTGAGCAGGGCAAGAGGTCTTTACGAGGAGCATAGGAGGGGATCTTTCCCTGCTTTTGGCAGCAATACCACATGGGCATCCCTGAAGGAATCTGGCAGAACCCCCATTTCTAGACAATCCAAATAGAGGTCCCTGAGCCTGGGTCCGACAGAATCGATATACTTCTTGTACCACTCAGCCGGGAAGCCGTCCGGCCCAGGGGACTTCCCATTAGGGAAGGAAGCTATTGCCCGCTGTATCTCCTTCAAAGTAATAGGCATTTCCAGATATTCCCTGTCCGCACCTGCCAACTGCAGGATGGTAAGCCCACCCAACAAGTCCTGCAAGGCGCCCAGGTCGTACCCGGGAATGCGCAAGTAAAGATCTTTATAGTAGGCAAGAAACTCCTGTAGAATAAGAGGAGGGTCTGTCACTCTTGTCCCTGCGTCAGTCAGAATGGCTGTAATGTTAGTTTGTGACCTTTGTTCCGCTACCAACATTGCTAAGAGTTTACCATTTGTGTCCCCTTTCTCAAACAAGTTTTCCCTCGACAGCCGCCAGGAACACTGCGTCAGCCCCACATGGTGGAGATTGATGGCACGCCTTGCCCGCTTAAGTGCGGCCACCGTGGATTCAACAGGAGAGTCTGTATAGGCCACTGGTCAGACGGCCTCCTCATCTTGCAGCAATGTATGGGTAGTGCTGTGTTCCCTGCAAACCGCTTTGATACCTGAAATATACTCCCCCCTGGTGGTGGCTTTAAAAGCATCCCAAACCACCGGAGCCGGGGCAGTGCCTGCATTAATGTGCCAGTAGGTAAGCATAGCTGGGGACACTTTTGCTGTCACTCCCTCCTCCCCCAGCCACACGGGTGATAATCTCCAGCTTCCAGACTTCCTACCCCCCTGGCACAGAAAAAGGTATGGAGAGTGGGACATGATCCGACAGGCCACCGGGCAAGTAGGTAGCACCTGACAACATGCCTAACATAGGCTGGTTGCCAAACGCCATATATATCCGGGCCGGGGAGCCACGTGTATGAGATAAATGAGAATAGGCCCTGAGGTGCTTCCACCTCCACACCTCTTCCACCATAGAAGTCTGGGCCCAGGACAGTAATTCAGTGCCCGGAGGCCTAGCCGGGTTGGAGGAGTCTAGAGCAGAGTCAAGGATGTTATTACAATCCCCAGAAATTAGAATCGGCAGTGGGAGGTATGGAGCAAGTTTTTCAAGGATGGTATACAAAACCTGTACGTGAAATGGCGGAGGTATGTACACGCTGACCAGCGCTATCTGAGTGGCTTGGATATCAAGGACCACAATTGCGAATTTGCCGCCAGGGTATGTGACAGTATGCAGTATGGTGCACTGAGGCCCCCCGGGAATACAGTACGTGGAGTATGTGGCATGCACCATCCTCTGCATCCAGGGGCATCTCAGGGCCAAGACCTTATTACCATCCAGATGAGTCTCCTGTAGCATAACAATATGCGGTTTAAGGTGCTTCAGATAGTTACAAACCATGGATCTCTTAAATTTATTGTTGAGACCCTGTACATTCCAGGATATTACTTTAATGTCATCCAAACCCATAATATCTGTCCAGACAAGTGGGTGGAGACTAAGGATGGGCTGCATGTTCGAGTACACTCCCCTCCTGGGCGTAAGTGAGATTTAGGGCGACACATAACTCTCCAGGACCCAATAGTAACCAAATAACCCCCCTTCCCTGAGAAACGTAGTAAACATAACAATAACATTGTCCAGAGAAGTTTAAGCCCAAAACCCCCCAAAACAGTCAGGGATACCCCACCTAATCTAAGGGGTGTACCCAAAGGACATTAACGAAGCAGCAAAGAATATGTAAACAAGGAACAAGAAGAAGAAGAAAAAAAAATTCGTAGATGTCCAGACGTTGAGGGAGCGAGCCATCGCCTCCACACTGCAGGACGATCTCTATTCTAGGATGTAGAGGACACCTCTAGGTCAAGCGTATTGTACATGAAATATTAAGGACAGGGCTTACTCACCACCCCCTAGATCCTTTCAGTCTCCGAAGCCATGGGCGATGCCCAGCCCAGGCCGGGCAATGCAGCAACCGTCCAGTAGGTATGAAAACATAAAAAAGAAAAGACAAAACAGGAAACAAAAAATAAAAATAAATTTTAGAAGGTTAAGGCCAGCAGGAGGCACGACCCATAAGTAGGATCAAGGAGCACTAGGCCACGGGTCACCGGCCACCGCCTGCAATGTAGTAAGCCCATCCGCCAGGTGAACAGTGCAGGAGCAGATCATCAGGCTGAGCAGGTATCCGGAAATCCCCCCTCCATAAGTAACCCATGAAGGCCAGATAGGATAAGGATCGACAGGTAGCAGCCGCTGGGGCGCCCTCAGCCCAGCGCATCCAACCATTCTCTAGCAGACCCAGGGGAATCAAACATGTGGACCGTGCCAGAGTGAGGAACCTGAAGTCTACTCGGGTACAGCATGTTGTACTGGATGCCTTTTTCTCTGAGACGGCGTCTCACCTCCACCAAGGTTTTCCTCCGCTTCTGAATCTCAGCCGAGAAGTCAGGAAAGAGGCAGACTGAAGCATTCTCATGGCGAAGATCCGGATATGTTCTGGCGGCCGCCAAAATTCTGTCCCAGTCCCGGTAATTAAGAAGGCACGCCAGAAATGGTCTTGGGGGTGCCCCAGGTATAGGTTTCCCAGTGGGCATCCTATGCGCCCTCTCAACCACAAAGGTGGAGGCAGCTCTTCCAGGGCCAGCACAGATTTAAAGAATGTCTCAGCGAAGAGGGCAGGCCGCTGGCCCTCAGCTCCTTCAGGCAGGCCTACTATGCGCACATTGTTGCGCCGCATTCTATTTTCGGAGTCATCCACCTTTGCCGCCAGCGTCTTAACTACGTTTTATAGCAGTAGTATGATCCCGGACCGAATCTTCCACACCAGACACCAGCGACTAGGCTTGAGACAGCCTGCCCCTAATTTTGTCTAAGTCATGCCTGATCAAAGTGCATTCCACAGCCAGATGATCTATTTTGGCTGTAAGGGCAATCTTGCAACCCTCAATGGCAGCCAGGATGGATTTAGTCTCAGCCTTCTCCTTACCTGATGACGATGGTGAGATAGGCAATCTGGGGGGACAAGGTCCGCTTCAGTAGCGCCTGCAACTTCGCCCTCCATATGATGGGTCTGGCGCCAGCGCTCACAGGCAGCAGGGGAGGAAGTCAAGATGGCGCAGGATGGACACGAGGCCGCACACTGGGATCGTCTCCAGCCTCTCTTGGGGGTATTGCCTCGTTTGCCGGACCTAGAGGGCATATCACCCTGCGCTGGACAGTCACCGGAGCTCAGGTGAGTATGTCAGGAGCCGAACTGACAGGATACAGACAGGATTAAGGGCAATGCAGCGGCGGAGCTCCCTCAGTCACGTCCGCGCTGCTTCACATCCTGGCCACGCACCCCTGTTCAGCAGAATTTGACATGTAACTTGAGTTATCCACTGTGAGTCCCACCTCTTGTTCTGACTCCTTCCCTTTGCTCAGCTTCCTTTGCTGGTTCACTGGGCAAATTCACTTCACAATTTCCCAGGATTCCTGTTTCTGGTGATGGGTTCTCATCGAAATAAACGCTGCAGGTTATTGTCATTTTGTCTGTCTTTGAGTGGAGGATTCTATATCCCAAGAATATGTTCTCTTTGGAAGTTAGTAGATTAAGGGGGGACATGATTATCTTGTATAAACTGTTCAACGGCGAAAGCAACATTATTAACAAACTATTTACGGTTAGCTCCGTAACAAAGACCAGAGGGCACCACCACAAATTGGTAGAAAAAAAATTCCTACACACGTGGCGCAAGGGGTTCTTCACAGTTAGAGCGGTTAGGGTCTGGAACTCTCTGCCGCAGGAAGTAATTTCAGCGAAGAGTGTGGAATCATTCAAGAAACTCTTGGACGAGTTCCTTGAATGCATACACGCAATAGGTTGGACTTGATGGACTTATGTCTTTATTCAACCTCAAATACTATGTAACTATGTAACATATTTTCTTTCTTTCTGTCATATTAATTCATTTTCCTTTAGCCTATTCTAATGTTAGTTAAGACACAATACAGTGTATGCGGTTGTATTTCCAACATTAAACACAGTGTTTGTGTTAAGGGTATGAAGGATCTTTAAACAAACAGCTGTCAGCGTATCTCTATGATTCTGATTATGGCTCAATACTGACTGAGATGACATATTTTGATCTGATGTATATTGAAGTTGATCAATATTCACAAACTCAAATGTCTTTTATAAGATCATGCATGTGTTAAAAATGTTGACTTTTGCAGGAATGGCTCCCAGCAGAGCTTCGGATGGCTTGCCCTATACGAGCTTGTTGTATGGCAATGGACCTGGCTTCAAGATTAATACAGGATCTCGTGAAAACATTACTAGCGTTGACATAGGTAAAAATACAGTAATTCTCAACACATCTCTTCTGTCCCAGCTTTCATGACTGACAAGCTAATATCTCTAAGGCAGGCTTGTCTTGCAGGATCTCTCTGAAGGAGCAGTGTAGCCACCCTACTGTGCGCGCTCCTTGCCAAGACCACAAAAATGCTCTGTGCGCCCACAAACACAGGCAGCACAGAAGAGCTCCATACAGGGGCTTTGATTGATAGCAGCTCTGGTCTATGTGATCTCCCTAGCTAGAATGATCCAGTACACAATTCATTGTGCATTCTCCCCAACTGAAGGTTCAGGGAAGGACCACAGAGAGGGACATGGGAGGAGATGTTTATAATTAAAAAAGTAAGTGGGGCCAGATGAAGAAATACAACTTCATATTTACAGCTGGAAAACAAAATGGAGAACAATTAAATGACCATGTGCATGTAACTATGGAAAATAAAGTATTTGCATATTCTTAAATAGCAGTAAAACTATTGTAAACAAACCCTCTCTAGCTGCTTGGATTGTGAAGTAATTCATTCTCAAAGATCCTGAAGGATTGCAACAAACACTCTGAAGTCTTGTCAATCTTTAACAACTTTGAAATACCTGCTGTGTGTTTGCATTAGAAGTCTGGCAAGCTGCCAAAATTCTACTCTCATAAAACTTAAATCTTAGATTTCAGTGCCTTTGTTGTCAATTTGAAAACTAATTTTTACATTCATGAGGACTTCTTTTAAAGCTTGTTTAGAATATGTAAATATTTTATTTTTCATTACTACTGTAGAATGTGTTCTGTTGGGGTGCCTTGATTTTACTGACAGACAACTAAACCTTAAAATAGGAGTTGGGTTTTATTTACAAAGATGGATATGTTTAAATTCTAATTACAAATAGGGATACAAAGAGGGAATATGGATAAAGAGGCATGATAGGAAGGAAGTGGAGAACAGGGCATATCAATCATTCTGCCAATACCATCATTCTCACTCATTCTGATCATCCACACATGACTGGAATTTTATCTCTCCTTGAAACACTCCCATCAAGCAGGTCCCAGCGAATTGCATTCAGAAAGACTTTCAAGAAGTTATGAAAGGTTACCTCAGTTCCAGCTTGTGAGTCAGGTTTTTGTGGAGATCACAAATACATAGGTTGAAATTAGGATTATAATGTCCTTTCCCCCATCAAGCATGCTGCAATACTAAGCAGTGTGAGCAGTAAATACCAAGGAGGGCTGACTGTCCCATAACGACCCTCTGGCATATATTAATTAATCAACCTCACTGCCCAGAGAGCCCTTTGTTGTTTTATGATATTCATCTGCTTTATTACAAAGCCACATGTAGATTGTTTTGTCCGAAGGCAGAGGCTATCTTTTAATCTTTGTTATATTTGTTAAAAGTCATTTTATCAGCTCCAACACTACATTGACTGATCATGTGACTGAAGCAGACAACCCCTGCAATTCCATGAATAAGAAATTGGCTTCAGGGGGCAGGAAACAAGTGGAATCCATATTTTGTCTAATCAAATAGCAACGGGTAGAATTTTTTAACAAATGACAGTTCCATAGTACACTAAAGTCTCCATAGCCAGAGGCGGCTCTAGAGTTTGCGAGGCCTTAGGCGAAACCTAAACATGAGGCCCCACTCAGGCCTGTGGTGTCTCACCAGGGCAATGTGGGGTTTAACGAGTCCTGGTGAAACCCCACAGAGCACTGGTGAGGACCTACAAAGCCCTGATTTAACCAGGGCTCTGTGGGGACTGGTGAGAACCCACAGAGCCCTGGTGAGACCCCACAGAGCCCTAGTTAAACCAGGGCTCTGTAGGGTCTCACCAGTGCTCTGTAGGGTCTAACCAGCTTGGTTAGACCCCACAGAGCCCTGGTGAGATCCCAAAGAATCTCTAGAGGGTCTCACCAGGGCTTTGTACGGTCCCTACAGGGCTCTGTGGGGTTTAAACAGCCCTGGTGAGACCCCACAGAGGCCTGGTTAAACCAGGGCTCTCTAGGGTCTCACCAGAACAAGGGCTCCGCAGGGTCTCACCAGGGCTATGTGGGGTCTCATCAGCCTGGTTAGACCCCTCAGACCCCTAGTGAGACCTCAAGAAGCATTGGTAAAACCAGGGCTCAGCAGGGTTTTACCAGGTCTCTGTACCTTCTCACCAGCACCAGGACTCTGTAAAGCTCTTTGGGGTCTCACAATGGCATTGGGGCTCTTTTGAGCCTCACCAAGGCTCTGTGGGGTCTAACCAGCCTTGTTAGACCCACAAAGCCCCAGGGAGACCCCACAGACCTCTGGGTAGACACCAAAGAGCCCTGGTTAAACCAGGGCTTTGTAGAATTTCACCAGGGGTCTCATCAAGGCTCTGTGGGGGTCTCACCAGGGTAGCCGGCCCATGCGGGGTCGCACTAGGGCTCTGTGGGGATCTAACCAGCCTTGTTATACCCCACAGAGCCCTGGTGAGATCCCACAGAGTGCCAGGGCTCTGTGGGGTCTCACCAGGGCTCTGTAGGGTCTCGTCAGTGCTCTGTAGGGTCTAACCAGCTTGGTTAGACCCCACAGAGCCCTGGTGAAATCCGAAAGAGCCCTATAGAATTTAACCAGGGGTCTCACCAGGGTTCTGAGGGGGCCTCACCAGGGTAGCGGGGCTCTGTGGGGTCTCACCAGGGTGCTGTGGGTTCTAACCAGCCTTGGTAGACCCACAGAGCCCTGTTGAGACCCCTCAGAGCCCCGATGAGACCCCACAGAGCCCTGGTTAAACCAAGGCTCTGTAGGGTCTCACCAGAGCTCCATGGGGTCTCGCCAGCACCAGGGCTCCGTAGGGTCTCACCAGGCCTCCAAGGGGTCTTACCATGGCTATGTGGGGTCTCACCAGCCTGGTTATACCCCTCAGAGCCCCGGTGAGATCCCACAGAGCCCTGGACTCTGCAGAATTTCACCAGGGGTCTCACCAGGGCTCTGAGGGGGACTCACCAAGGTAGCAGGGCTCTGTGGGGTCTCACCAGGGCGCTGTGGGTTCTAACCAGCCTTGGTAGACCCACAGAGCCCTGTTGAGACCCCTCAGAGCCCCGATGAGACCCCACAGAGACCTGATTAAACCAAGGCTCTGTAGGGTCTCACCAGGGCTCCAAGGGGTCTCACCAGGGCTCTGTGGGTGTCTAACCAGCCTTGCTAGACCCCACAGGCCCCTGGGGAGATCCCACAAAGTCCTGGTTAAACTAGGGCTCTCACCTGCTTTCCACAGGGCTATCCATAGGGCTCTCCAGGCTGCCACTCCAGTACTGTGCTCGGCTGGCCGTGTCTTGCGGGCGGGAGCTGTCAGGACGATGTCTCCGTCGGCTTCTGAAGTTAAACTCCGCCCTCCCAGGAGTGAGGTCTCTTCTCATTGGCTGGAGGGCGGAGCTCCGTCCAGAAGGCTGAGCCGATGGTCCGTGCGACAATCGAGGAAACAGGTGAGTTTTCAGCCCTGTCACTGTCAAACTGACAGTCTCAGTTTGACAGCGACAGGGCTGAGAGCTCACAATGCTACCTGGCTTCTAACAGGGCAAACTAGGCGGCCGCAAAGCGCTCGAGAGCGCGAGGCCTAAGGCGCCGCCTAATTTGCCTAATTAAAGAGCCGCCTCTGTCCATAGCCAACAGTGGTGTTTATTTCAGTTGTGTACAATCATCTACAATGAATCTGCATCACTTATTCCTCAGCCATTTTGTCTACAACCTTCCTATTTAGTCTTGCAACCTGATTTCCTATGAAAGGGAAACTGCGCCTATGGGCTCACATACAACAACAAAAATGACAAAGGTTCTAAATCTTCCACACTTTATCCAGGGGCGTATCTGCCGTGAGGCAAACAAGGCATTTGCCTGAAGCGGCAGATTCGCTGAGGGCGGTGATGCTGCCTTGCCTAGGGCAAAGCTCTGCTCTGTGTCGTGGTGCTGGCGCTGGGGGCGAGAGCGCACTATACAGAGGTGGGTGATGCCATCTACGGGAATCGGCAGGTCAGTCCGGGGGGGTAGACACCGCTGACTTTATCCAAAACTATTGCAATAAAAGTTATTGGTGGTCATTAAATGTCAAATGCTTCACCATCTGTCATTGTGTTTCTCACAGAGGGAAATTATAGACAGCAAACTGCTGTCCCACTTTCATCAGAGACACATGGAGGCGAGGATGTAGCTATTATGGCAAAAGGGCCCCATGCACATCTCTTCCACGGCATCCATGAGCAGAGCTATATTGCCCATGTAATGGCTTATGCAGCTTGCTTGGAACCATATAAAGACTGTTCTTTCAATTCAGGTTTTCTCACTGCTCCTTCCATCATGCTGCTTTTGGTCAGTGTATGTGGAGCTCTCTTGCGATGAGGGTGTGAATTCCTTTTTTTGATGGCCTCTACTTCCTGTCTTACATTTAAGATCAATGAATGCATTGTCTCTTTGACATTTATGATCAATCAAATGTATTACATATGTTTTGTTAAATAGCCAATGACAAGCTGGCTGTAGTTTTAAATTTCATACAATAAATGATTCTGTTATTAAGTCTGCATTGTTTATATTTTTAATACCAGTATGAAATAATGTATTGATATTTGGTCAAACTAACAGTTTAATATTCTTGTTCAGACAACCTAAAAGGAATGATTCTATACATATTTGCTATGGGTACAGGGCTGTCTACTGTATAAGATAAAGTAACATATAAAACCCATCTGAGAAAAGCACAAAGGTGCTGTCCAAACAAGATTAATTGCAATTGATTTATAATGTATCCTTTAGCAAGTGTGGAACATTGGAGCATTGTGTAAAGAGGTCAAAGACAATCTCTAATTTCATAACGCATGTGACACCAACAAAGACAGTAAACAATCTTTTGAGAATGTTTTCATATTTTGCCTACTTCTTTCTATGGAGTTCTTCTAAGGCCTTTTGTGTTAATCTCTCACAACGGTAGTTGTAGTATACTGGCTGCCACTTAGGCCTCAGCAGCCAGTAGTGAGAGCATTGATTTGTAAAGCGGCTGTAATGTCAGTGAACTTTAGGGGTCCCATGAACATATTAATAGTCTTTAACAGTTTTATGTAGCATATTTCCAACCTTCACCTGCAGCATATCGCCAGTCTCTAACTGTCTCCAGTCAGTGGCGGTGCCTGGAGGGTGCCTGGGTGTGCTGCAGCATTGTATTGAATGTTCTGACCCCCAATGTAAAGTGGCACATTGACCACCATTATAAGGAGGGCCTGCTGTCCACCATTGTAAAGGGGGACACTGAGCATTGCCCACTAATGTAAGGGAGCACACCGAGCACTGGCTGGCAATGGAAGGGGGCACATTTTGCACTGACCCCCATTGCAAATGGGGAACACTGACCACTATATAAGGGGGAGGGGGAATGATCATCAATGCAAGGGGACACACTAAGCATAATGCAAAGGAATACACTTACCATGGGGGGTGTACTGAGCAATGATGACCAGTGTAAGGGGATACACTGAACACTGACCACTGACCACTGGTGTAAGTGGCACACTGACTACCAGGGTAAGAGATCACAATGAGTACACTGACTGCTATGTCGTATGTTATGTAGTCCTGACCGCTGCACCTCATGTGAAATATTTTTAACCTTTAACTTTATCCTGAATGCTGCACTTCATATGCTTTGTTGTATATTACACAGTCCTGACTGCTGCACTTTATACAATGTGTTGCTCATTGCAGAGTTCTAACTGTTTCTAGTTGCAAAGTAGTTCTATTTTAATGAAATTCTTCATTAAGGTAGGATCATATAAAGAGTTAAATCTCCATGTATATTCTGTGTCCAAAACAGCATATACAGTGTAATATTTTTCTTAAAAACCTTTTTTCCAAGGTTTATGTGTACCATTTAGGCTAGCACAGGTATGTTTTGTAGGTACAATGACCGTGGCAGGTGAGCAGTATGTATAGCAATTACTTTCAAGCCCTGTTTGACCTATTGCTCTCAAGCCATTCTCACTGGTAGGTGTGATCTCTACATGTCCACCGCTTGCTGTGGAATGCTAAGAAAAGTTGCTTTTTCTTTGTATGCCCCAGGGTACCCCAGGTCTTTTACAATTATAACCACATCCCTGCACCATAGACAAAGTTTGTGTTTTACTGTTCCTAGCTAAAAAAACAATGGCAGAGGGGAGTAAGGGACTTATCTGTGGTCTAAGGAATAATCCTGTGGCTCCCAATATGGTGTTTATGGCGGGAACAAGAAGTGATCTGGCAGAGTTTGCAGCATCAGTCTGGGATGGAGTGCCTGAAAGCTAGCTTGCCTATGTACTTTTCAGCGTGTGATTTAATCTTTTGGACTGACCTCTGACTTTACTGTTTTGGTTACTTTAGTTATACTATCTCATTGGTCAATGATTTTTGTTACCAGTGACTGGTGGTTATTGCTGGGCCTTATCATTGCTGGCCCTGACACATGCTGGGGGTTTTTGTGCTGGGGCTTGTTATTATTGCTGGCCCTGACACTTACTGGGGGTTATTGCTGAAGTATATCATTGCTGGCCCTGACACTTGCTGGGGGTTTTTGCTGGCCCTGACATTTGCTTGGGGTTATATTTGCTGGCACTGACACCAATGCTGTGGTTATTGCTTCCATTGACACTAACAATGGGTCTTATTTTAGCCCCACAATCTCTTCAGCGTACCGCAGGCCCCATTTCGTCTAAAACATAGAAAAGGGGAAGGGTAGCACACAACAAGCCACACAGTGAAGAAATACCCAATTTATTGACCATGTCCACTTTTTGGCCATGCCCACAAGCCTGCGGCAGACTGCATGCTATGTGTACCCTATTTTATCCCCTGAATTGAATTCCTTCAAAATTGGCAGCAGGTGGCCCATGTAGCACACCACAATTTTCTTCTTAATTTCTTCAAGGTGTTGCTCCTAATTCTTTTAAAATGTTGGCAACTATGTTTTATTTCTACGTCCACTGGCACCAATTATAGAACTGATTTTTGCACTTACTGACCAGCAATGTAAAGGACACTGCTACATACTGCATCTGTACATTTCAATGTGCTTAAAAGGGCTACAGTCTGCCTTCTTACACTGCCTTGCACTGAGAATGGTTTGCATATAACCTTGCATCTTTCATTTTCTGACTAAGAATTTAGTCAATCTTTAGCAGCGCTGAATATTTTGCACGGCCTCCTGAGTATATCAGGCGCTGCAGTTGAGGCCACGTATAGTAAGTTGACAACTACTGGTCGAAAATATGCTTTTATGTTCTCTTGTGTCATAGTTCTGAGTTGAAAAATCCTCATGTTTGAGGGCTTGTATAAATGGCCAAATGCAGTTTGCTTACTGTTACATTCAGCTTGCATTTGAGATCACTTTAAGATACTTCTGAGATTCTTCATAGGAGCTTCTGATCTTATCCTATGCTGCTTTAAGCTGCTTTTGCATTTCTGTTGACTTGTATGTAGAAAAGAAAGATGTGAAGCAACACCCATTTACAGATCCACTTAGTTTGGATGTTTGGTATAATGTGAAAGTGCAAGAGTCAAAACTTGAGTGCAGTGTAAGAAAAATAAGAGCTTTATTTAGCAACCAAAATGTTCACAAAAAATGGAGTTATGTTACAATCATGCACCCCATCTGCCATTATGTCTTCTGTACATAATTATTGGCATTCTAAACAATATAGTGAGGAAACACTTTATTGCACTTAGTGAGACACCAAAATAACAGAATCGACAACCTGTTTGTCAAATGCATACATGCTTGCCAGTTTGTGCAGTAAAATCTATTGTACTGCTGCTTATTTAGCATTTATTTATAAAAACATTAGGGAATAAAGGTTTCGGTCTATGTGAGCAATGAGATCTTTTTATTTTCTAACTTTCTAACCTTATATAAAACACTATTTAATACAGTTAAGTATTCATTAATATACCACAAAATGCACTTTCATATTCAACTTATGTATGAGCCTGAATCTGTCTTCCGATAATCATTTTGTATTCCCCTGTACTGTGGATCGCAGGCTAGGAGAGGGAATGGCAGAACCAGTGGCGAATCAGTCTTTTTTACATACACATTTGCTAGGCAGCAACGTAATTAAGGTCCTGCACAGGCAAAGGGCAGTGAGGTGATTAAGCTGTATGTAAAAGCAGACGTATAGTCAGAATAAAATGTTTGGGAGGGAGCTAAGGATTTGTATGTGTTTTCTGCCAAACAAATTCTTCTTCTCCCCCCAATCTATATTTTACTTTCTGTGTACACGGCCTATGTGCCATGATGCTGGGGAGGATGTGTCTCCCGTGCATATGTGCAGGAATTACATCATCAGTGGCCACCCAATGGCTGAATGCCTGTGAACACGGAAGTGGCGGCGGCGGAGATAGTGGTGTGTGTGTGTATGTGTGTAGGGTTGCAGAGCTGGGGACCAAAGATCGATCCAACAGCACTGGAAAAAGGCAAAGTGTTTTACTTCCATTTTAACTGTAGTAGCCAAAAGTAATATAGCTCAACTAGCTGTGCTGTTTGGCAGGAGTGTGTAAATTTCACGACTGCATGGACAAACTTACAAATCCTTTGGTAGGTAAAACAGCTCCCATAAATGTAGTCCAACTGCTTGACAGTATTTCTTTTATTTAGGATGACACATTCTGGTCTGTTAATACTTTCGGCTACTGATGACTTTTAATAGCCTAAATATAAAAGAAGCTTAAATATAAAAAAGAAGCTTAAATATAAAAAAGAAGCTGTTTATTTTTACAGAAATGTTACTATTTTTGCTTATTTATTTTTCCTTATTGCCACTGTGAAACCCATCTTGCTAACAGCTTTAAATTCCACCTATTTCCCTTTTTATGGCTCCCTGCATTAGGCATAATTCTTTACTTTCAGAGGTAAGAAGCAAGAGAAGGAAAAAGCCGTAGAGGCTTTTTTTTCGGTTTTTTTTTCACTTTGCTACTTTTTAACCTATTAACATATTTTTTCTTTATTAACACATTATTTTTTTAATAGGAGTCTAAATTCAGTTGAACTTAGTGTAAAATATACCCAATGTATGAAAGTGTGATGATTTAAGTGGTCAGGAACGTTATAGAAGGACTATTTGCAGATAGGTCACTCAATTGAACATAGACTATGGAGTTTTCCTATTAATTGTGTAAGTGACAAAAATAATATCTTTTAGTTTGAAATTAAAGATCTTATGGCAGCAGAGGATAATAATGTGCTGTAGTAGTGTTATGAGCAGACATGAATGAAGATTCATATTGTATATACAATTTTTCCTTTGCAACATCAGACACATATTACCACAATTTTACCTCTGTGCAAATGTTACACCTAGTTGTAAATAGTTCTAGTAAAAGTTTCTGACCACTAAATACATTGGGAGACTGATTTTGTATTATGCACTTTTTTATCTTACCAATGATGAGTGATAGCAGATATAAAAGCTATGTTGAACTGAGAAAATGTGCTACATTAATGATGCAAAACACAAATTCATATACCTTCCATCAATCACATATAGTAAGAATTCTTTAAAGGTCAAATCTGTGTAAAACTGATCTTAGTTTAGTATGAATGTTGACAGGTGGGATCCCCCATCACTGATAACATTATAGAAACTCAAATGGGAAGTATGTCATCCAAGTTTGGGTTTTCGGGGTATTTTTTCATTCAAGGTTCACATATTTTCGCCCAAGATTCAATTGGAAAATTGTGTGAATGTGTGAATTTTACAATGCAGAAAAGCAATCCAGACGTGCCATAAACATAAGAGATTAGAACTTTTTTTACACTCCAGAAATTACAAAAAACCTCGCTACCTGGATTTCCGCTTTAAAGCACAACAATAGCAGGAAAATATTTGTCATTTATGAAGACTCGCTCGGTTCCAGAAAATAGACAGCTAGTTTGTACCCTGGTATACAAGAAGGGGGTGATCAGATGCAATTTTTAGCATCCTTAAATGGTTTGCAGTCGACGGTTACCTTTAAAGTTGCCAATATTTAGAACAGTGGTTTATAAAGCTTGGGAATATTATTGATAGTGACTGTGTAGGTAGTATAACATAACTGGCTACTGTGATGATAGTGTGCTTTGACGAACCTCAAAATGCATGGAAAGCATCAGGAACTGGGAATGAACACAATGCCAATCTAATTTCAGACCAGTCAGATTAAAATCTTCTGTCTGTGTTAGGCAGCTATGGAAGACAGCACATTTGACAAAAAACAGTCCACTTAGAAGGAATGAAGAGCATCATAAACTTTAAAGCCACACTTTAAAGCTGAGTGTTATGTACAAAGGGCTGCTGCAAAGTATAAATATCTTACCTTGCAGCATGCCGTCTCCTGCACACAGGGCCAACACTGCCACTAGGCAAAATAGGCAGCCACCTAGGGTGAGCTGCCAACTAGGGGGCAGCCTCAGGGGTGTGGGATTCTTATCGCCCAATGCCCGTGATATGCATTTCCATGCGCCGGGCAGGTTTTTTTTTTTACCCCTGCTGCAGGCAATCAGGGCTAAATTTAGAGTGGGGGGAGCCACTACTTTTTTTGTACAAGTGATCTGAGCGGCTGTACAAGTAGCGGGGAGGTGCAAAATAGTCTAGCACCGGCCCTGCCTGCACACAACACCAAGTTTCCAGGCACTGAAGAAAGGGAGAGATGTGACTCGAGCTGTACAGTATTCTGGTCACATTAACCGTCCTTCTCCACTATCCTCTATTCTCACAATGTCTTGTATTTTTGGAGGAGGAAGGGGTGCAGTGGGGAAGTAACATAATATCTTCTCCTCCAATCACAGAATGTCTTTATACTTTAAAAAAGGACAAGACATTTTGTGTATGGATAATAGTGAAGCGGGACAGGTGATGTGACTGAAGCACTGCATAGCTTGGGATGCATCACCCCCTTTCTTCAGCAACCAGCATTGGCATTGTGTGCGGAAGACAGCATGCTGCAACGTAGGACTTTTCTACTTTGCATCAGCTCTATGCACATAACACCAGTGTGTTGTGTACAGCAATGGCTTTAACTGGACCAAGGTCTTTAAAGAATTTTGACGAGGCTCTGTCCTTAATGGTCATGTCGCAAATGGTCTTATGTGCAGTTTAAGGAATATACCTGTACATCTGTAATGTGTGACCTAGACTGACCTACAGCTAAACGCCATAGATTTAATTTTCATACATATTTTATCATTTCTGCTACAATGAAGTGACCTTCCTTAAAAAGTGGTTACAGTAATATAGAAGAAGATACAATTCTTACCATATTACAAGGTCAAGGAGACTAATAGGTACAAATTAGACCTAGGAAAAATATACATTAGAAATATATGAAGTTTTGTCTCTAACAACTCCCAATTTCATCCAGGTAAATACTATGCTGGCTTATGAATTGGAAAACCTTGTCATATGGAAATATAGATGCACCCAGGAGAGTTGGCATTAAAGGTGTATCCACTAGGCATTGGAAAACAATCCAGTACACCTGGAACACACCCCTCAGACCTTTTGATTGGGTGGTACAGTTCTGCAACACCCTTGCCAGGTGACAAGAAAAGGTATGCATTGCCATTGGTAAAAAATAAATTTGTATTACTATATTGAATTTCCATAAGTTCTATCCCACTCCTAATAACCATATTGCTCTAGATGTCTGCAAACTTACTTATTAAAGATACCCACAGGATGTACTTCCTCAATTCACTGATACCATTTCACTCAGCCTGTGAATATGCACTTCCCTGTGTCACAAATCACAAAGCCTGCCTTCTGAACTACAACTCAACGTCTGAACAATGTAACATTACCATTGCTTGCTGGAATCAATGCATTATAAACAGCAAGGAAAGACGCAAAGCACACTGGGAATCCAGGAAGTTGTAGAAAGTGATGTGAAGACAGAAGTCAGCTCTCACTACATAAAATGATTTTTTCAATTAAGCTTTGGTTGCATTATTAAAAACAACTCTTGATAAACGTTGTATTGTACCAAAGACCAGGTAGACTTTACTTACGTTTTTTTCACTTTTAAAACTTTTTTTTTTTGCTGTTGCTTATATCTGTTTTGCATTATAATTTCTTACTTGCAGAATTTTGTCCTACAAGCTAGAAACTTTCTGCACAGGATGTGGCTGAGTCCGTGTATGTCAGAGTGACTGCTACTCTATAAATTAGGCGTGGAAAGCTGCAGTTGACAGCAAATAAATAAAGTCCAAGTGACAGGATATTGCAAAAATAATAATGAATTAAAAATAAACATTTGCAGTGTTTGTTTTAAAAGGAGCAGCATCTCAGAATAATAAGAAGCAGTTGTCTATGATAGCTTAATCTAGTAGCCATAAGAAAAGATTTAAAAAAGAATATATTTATTCTGTATGGAAACAACAACATATTTACCAAAACATTATGTGATATGTAGGGCTCATTCATTCTATAGGCATTGCAGTCTTTCCCTTACAGATATGATAACTGGTTCATTACTTGGCCATCTGCAGAAAGACAGCTGTAGCCCATGGGTATAAGGAGCTTGGTAAACTCTTCTCTATGGATATCAAACTCCTCACAAATTCAATGAAACAGGCATCAAAACCATTTTTGTAGTCATTTGTGTGGTAATTCTATAAGAATCTGTTGTAAATGTTGAGAGCTCATTCGTGCCTCTTGTCTGACCTCCTTAAATGGACCAAAAGGCCCAACAGCATATACAAAAATTTGAAGGATCCAGTAATCTATAATTTCTGACAATCAAGTGCCTGACAAGCCATCACCATTAAGTGTCAACTTTAGTTCATGTCTGTGGCTTAGTTTTTAGGTATGATTGGCTCAGTAACTCTTCCTCTTGATGTTAGTGGGGTTAGGAATAAGCCAGTAGCGTAAACACTTCAAAATCCATGGGGAATTTTCCACTTCAATGACCCACTGACCAGTTCAGGTATAGTTGAAGAGGCTCAGAAATCTGGAGTCAGTGGGAGGGAAGGCACACTTAGACACTCTTGTCCTGATGTAGACACAATTAATTGTGTTGTGGACGATGTAAAGCTGGCATCAGCAAAGCTGTGGATCACCACACAGAACATTTCTGAACTGGGTTCATAGGGGAATTCTTAGGGCAGTGGAATACCCGTCCAAATTCTTCAAACTGAGAGACGCTGCCCATAACCCTATAGAGATAGCAAGATACTTGTTTAACAACAAAATATAGTACAGATAAATATATACTCTGAATGATATCCATTCTGATCAATACTGTTTAACAAAATTCTACAATATGACTTGAAGCAAATGCACCATACTATGTGGACTTTTAGATACACAATACCATACTTGAAAATTACTTAGTATAAAGAATAACTTAGATTAAAGATTGTATTGGGAATACATGCCCAGTGGACCAATGGTTTAAAGCACAGAATCATTATGTCATTCTCTTACATCTCTTTGATTCATTATTGCTGAATTTTTCAGCATGATCACAATGAAAATTCGGTCAGAATTTAATTTATTTTTCCTGCCCCAAAAGGCCAATTGCCTTGGCCACCAGTACACTTCTGACCATATAGTCTTACCTTAGGGTGACACTAACTAGATCAAATAATATGCAACACAAAGCATTGGGTCACAGTTTGCCCATTTTGTGTCAATACATTTAGAACTGGCGACTAATGGTAGAGCAATCTTTTTTTTTTTATGATAAAGTAGACAGAACTGCTCATCTACTTACACTCTTTGAATTTGGTTCACTACCATGGCAGCCACATCATGCAAACATACAACTAACAATCCCTCACAAACATCTAGAAAGAGATATTCTGAACACAGATTCAGAGAGAACCAATACAAATTTGCACTTGGTGACAAAAGCATGTTAGGCTGACAGGGTGATGTCATCCTTTAAATGAATCAGAATCATTCTACAAAATTAGCTTTTGTGTGTTACCCCTACCGGTAATGTTCAGGAGCGTGCTTATCCGTCAGGACCTGAAGATAAATAGACTGAGATCTCCTCTTTATACACCAGTTCTGAATAATGAAAAGCAAATGACATGCTCATTATTTTGTATGACTTATAAATCAATTTTAGCTGAAGCACCTTAATCAGAAATAAGTTTATGCACACATATAAACAGTGAATTATCTATTTTTAATTATTCTAGGATATCTGAGGGAAGAATTAAAGGGTAAGTGTACTTTTATCCCAAAAAAAGTTTGTCACCTCCTCATAAAACTTCTGTGTATATAGACTTCAGATGTAGTTTAGTGGAGGTCTCATTGCCTGGACTCTCCAAAGCTTCAGCAGTGTTTACAACGTTTACCAGTCCACTGTCCTCAATATTCTTTGCACAAATATCAAGCCTGTGCATAGGGAATTACCAATGAGTTAAAGCCATTATTCTTTATGACCAGGCCCGGTACATATACAGTATAATGAGTTCAGAGGAGGTGCTGCCAAAGGCAGGTCAAACCAAAAAAAAATATGTAGTGTGTCTGGCTTGTGCAGTGAAGAGAAGGTTAAATAAAGAAAGTGCAGGGAGTGGCAGATTGGTCATTATTGTCTATCCTGATCCATTCTTTTGTACATGTACCAAGCACCAGGATCCTCATATCAATGTACACTACAATTGGACAGTAAGTCCAATTTTGGTGAAAGCTGAAGCTGTCACACATTGGCTCTAAAGATTGAGAACTAAGCAAATCACAAAATGAATGATCGCTCAATTTCCGAGCTTCTCCCTGCAGGGAGTAGTGACTGTCAGTCATCACTCCCTGCAGGGATTTCCTAATTCTCTCTCCATTCCTCCAGAGTTGACTGCGGCAGCGAGCCAGTTGTCAATCATATAGCGGGGTGAATCCCGACAATATTGTTGGGATCCTTTCCGGCTGCAGCTTGGCCCTGCGCAGTATATAGCAAAAACATCACCCATTATTCAGCATTCACCAGCGAAAAACATCACCCATTATCCAGCATTCACCAGGGAAAACATCAAACATTATCCAGGATTCACCAGGGAAAACATCACCCATTATCCAGCATTCACCAGGGAAAACATCACACATTATTCAGAACTGAAAATACATGTAGATTTAGCGGGTCTTTACTAATATGCCCCATAGCTTAGTCTGTAATTCCATGAGCAGAATCTTTGGGCACAAGCAGTAGATTGACATGTGAAAACACAAGCTGTATTACTAAGGATCTTGTAGTCATATTGCAACATTGCACATCGTTTAGTATCGTTTAGTATCATTCTGAAATTGCACTCAACATGAATCATAAACCGTCACTTCCAACCTGTGCAAAAGCAATGAAGAAGAGTTGGTCATGAGTGTATTTCAGACGAGGAAGGGGGCGCTCTGGACCGTTTTCTCTTACCCACTTCTGGTATGCCTGCAAATATACACAATAGCATCACAATAATTAACATATATACAGCATGAGAGCAATATAAGTGTCCACTCAGTGTGTAGCCAATACAAAGAGCTTTGGATACCAGTCAGATGAAAGGGTAGGAAAAGGGGAATTTACCCCAGGGGATTAGATCAAGGGGCCCTTGGTTTTAACAAAAATTGCTTTTTTTAATCGCTACTTTCCCTTTTTTTCGGCTTTTCAAAATAACAAAATTAATTATTTTAAGATTAGGTAAAAGGTGTATTGCAGTAAAACACTTTTGGTAGGTAAATAATACCTTTTTATAGTCATCTATACATCAAACCAAAAAGGACAGACAACTGGGGAAGAAAGAGGGACAGAGGAATTTGGTTCCAGAAGAGTGGCAGTCCCTCCAAATGAGGGGCACTTGGGAATTATACATATGCTTATATATTACCAGAGCATGTGCTATGGTATTTGTGTAAGACTGTGGTATGTTGGTTTTCGGACACCATATTACGAAACATTAACCTGTCATTTAATTTTTTATTTCCCTAATCCAAATAGGTTGAGGCCCCGCTGCATAATATTTCAGAGGCTGTCACAGACCTTAATCCAGCCCTACATGACAGGATATAAATATTTAAATGTGTAAGATACTCACAAAAAATGCCAATTTAAGGCCACCCATGTCTGCAATATTTTCACCTAATGTTAATCTTCCATTTACCTAAAGAAAGAATGGAACAGAAACGATTAGCTGCAATTATATCTATCTTTAATTCTCTCTGGGTTTTAGCCAAACCAGTTTGAACAACTAAGATTACTATCAAGCTGGCAAGGACTGTGGTCTCATCAGGTTGAATATTAATTAGTTGCACTTAAGGTGAACCTATGTCAGACTATGGACACTAAAGTATTTAAAACATTTCTGAACAAGCAGTAAAAGTATTTTAAAACAAGCCATCACTCACCTCTGTATCTAGTGGTATTGGAGATAAACCAGTTTTCAAACTTTACTACAGAGGTGCAGAAAGCCCAGCTATTTTCATTGTGAGCAGAAGCTAGGCAGGCTGCCAGCCCTCCAATATAAACAAATACTAGGTGTACCTAAGCTATATAAACTGACTGAAACTGGATGTTGTGCACCCCAGCACTGAGACCAAGCAGTCACTGACAGCTCCTAGTGTTGGACCAATGAACTAGCTCCTGATCATGTGATCACCATGATAGCCAATCACACTAGTTTTAGAGCCCTCTCCAGTACATTGTATTCTCGTTCTCCCTGCTAAAGAAGGAGTCTGTAAAAAAAAAGGATGTTTTAACAAAAAAAAAGAATCTTATATGCATAACTTATCCGTCCAGCAAAACTGCATATAGCAGCACTGAGAGGCACCCCCTTCCCCAACCACACCAACTTTCTAAGATACATAGCATATGACATTCAGTAATCAGGTTTACATCTGCTTTAACAGTCCTACTAGTACCTACAAGACTCCTCCCCCTTCCCTTTGTTAGCTGACGGAGCCACAAAGATTTAAAAGTACACAAAGAGAAAGTACTAAGAACGCATCAGCCATATCAAATAGGTTCTCAGAAGAAGCACAAAAAGGTATTGTTGCCATGTTGCTTACTGTTACACTATGTTATATAAAATAGTTCTGTAATGCTTTTTAAAATTCAGTCCTGTTGCTCTTCAAGCGTGTATAGCCAGCACAGAAAAAAGGATTTCAAATGACAAAAAAACCGGCCCATATACACACGTAAGAGAGCAGCTTCCAGGGGACATTCACCTTTCCATTTTTGTAACCCTCCCAATTCAATAAAACCTGAACGTGTTAATTTATTTTAATTTACCTTTTTTTTTTATTTCTTTGTGTGGCCCTGTCCCCATTACCAATGTTGCTTAGACAGGAATTCTGTATGTGCGTTATAATTAATCGATTAATTGATTTTAAAAAATTTCGATTAATCAAACACGAAAATTTTAATCAGTAACCGCCCTACAAAAAATATATGTTTCCTTGTCTGAGTACCAGATACTCTGAGCCTATCAGGACCTAGTAATCAACAAATTAATGTGTGAGCAGAGCCTACAAGCCCTACACTAATCTCCCTATGTTTTCCCTATTACAGATAAAGCACATTATTAATATGGCTGCGGTGACCTTACCCTTTTATAGTGAGGGGGCTGGCTTATCTAAAAGTCTCCTTTTTGGCCCTACCATGCCCCCTGACCTAAGCTCGAAGACCAGGCAGTGCATTATGGTTACGAAGAATTTGTACGGTCCAGAAAATTTCGAATTTCGGACCTGCTGGATCTGCCACAAACCCATGATAGCAGTGAATCCAAACCTCATCCATATTTCATAGCACAAAGTAGTATTGAGGTACACAGTTCCAATGCCTAACTTCGATAAGCCACAATATTCATATCTGGGGACGATTGCTGGTACAGTAGCAGAAATCAGCTTGTCAAAAATTTTACAGTATGGATCTTTTTCTACTGCTTCCACAGTCTTCTCTGAAATAGCATCTTCCAAGGCACAGTTAGTGTATTGCTAATAAGGTCTCACTGTGATCATATCCACCAGCTAATGTCCTCTAATCAGAGACCAGGCTTTTCCCCTCACAATGGGGAACCCGATTACTGCCTTACTCTCCCCCACCTTGACTCATTAAACATACTTGTAGCCACCTCTTTACAGGCCAGCACTGCTCTAGGCCACAGCTTTTTTTACTCAGGGTCTCATCACATTGAAGGCTCAGGAAGATTCTGCTTACAGAAACCCTGTTAGTGTTCTTTGGACTCAACTGCTCAACTGGTTACCCTATGCTTTCTCCTCAAGTGGCTTTGTCTAAGCTATACGCACTGCATAGTAGTCCCTGTTCATGGTATACAAACCTTGGGAACATTTCCGGAACCTTTCCTCACATCTAAGCTCTCAGATCACATTCCTATATTACAGATATACAGACATCTTGGTCTTTATTCTCTCAACCCACACTATTCTCTCAACCCACACAGCACTGTGTCAGTACATCCCTAGGCACACAGTCCAATGTCTGAAGGATGTATACCCATAAGTAAGTGGATCCTAGGCCCAGGGTCAAGTCAACATTGCAACATTGCAAACCAGGGGATCAGAGACAGATATTTTACGATGATAAAAAAATTTCATATATTGCTAAATGATGCGTACAAAGATACTGAGTAAGTATTATGAAGTACGGAGTGCTTATCTCTCTTTGCGGTAATATACCTTGCCTTGCAAGTAAGCCATGAATATACATGCTGTCTGGCTCCAACAGTAAGCATTCATTATAGACTTTATTTAGCGAAGAGAAACAGTTGTGCCAGGAATATAGTGTTTACCTTTGTGGGTAAGATGTAATTACAATAATTCCCTTATCTCTGGTGCCTTTGTTTGTAGCCTTTGTATTCAGCCCTTTGTTAAAAGCAGTTCCTGAACCATGCAGACACATGCTAAAATATAGCAATTTCAGGCAAGTCATGTGTTACAGTCCTACACATGGACAAAATCATATCACTGCTAACAACAAAAATATTGCCCGCCGTGTTGTGCCAACTGTGATGAAAGCATGGATCAGCCTTCTCTGCCATTACCAGGGCATTCTGAAAATGTTATTTTTATAAATCTCAAACTCACCAGCTTACCTTGTTAATTTGATCTGTCAAATAATGCCTCTGGAGAAAAGCACAGGTTTTTCATGCTATATTATACTGTATATACAGTAGTTGCTATCCATCAAACCTTTAAGCTGTTTTGTAAACTCACAACATAAATTGGGGACTTATGTTATATTGGCAGCGAAACAGACCATTGCCCAGGCATGGTGGAAACCACACGTGATTTTTGGGGAAGTTAAAAAGAGGATGGATTCATTTTTTCTTAATAAGAAACTGACTAGCATCCTGTTGGATTCCAATAAAAAGTTTATGTAGACTTGGGAACCTTGGATTAAGTATGCTCAACCAACACTTTCAGTAGAAAGTTTGATGCTCCTGTAGAAATGATTTTGGTGTCTTGCCCCCCCACACTTCCTTTTTTTTTTAGTTAGTCCTGAGGTTTTTGTTAGTCTTGTTTGGTCCTATAGTTATATTGTATTGTTTGTTTTAAAGGTGGTTGGTGGGGAGGGTCAGCAGGGTGATAAAGATTAGGTCTATCCTTGCAGACTGTTGATGTATGTTTGTATATGTTTATAACATAAATAAAATCTTTGAAATCTTTCATTCTGAAGCCCTCTGTGGCTTTGCTTTCAAACATAAAAAATATAAACTGTGTAAAATGGCAACAGTAAACTGTGAAGTGACTGTAAACGTAGGTTGTCTGCAAGGGAACAACATCTACACCCAACCAGTGAGGGAGTAACACATGCAAGCTTGAGTGTGTTTCATCTCCACGCTGTGCCCTCCATATTGACCAGTGATTGCCAGCAGCAGGGAACCAAGTATAATATTAGCCTTAAAAAGTCTCTGGCAGGGGGACAAAAATAAAACAATAAGGTTTTGCGCCGTGGAATATTTTATTTTTTTTCCCCAGCAAGCGTGGAGCGAGATGGAGATTATACTTTGGATGTGGGTATTGAGGAATGTGATATCTTAATGTATTTGAGCCACTGCCACTGAGTGTTTTTTCTGGTCCACCTCATCTGCCACTGCTGAGCACCTTTTTGGTCCGCCTTATCTGCCAACCTGGGAGAAGATTGCTCTTGTACTTGGGCTGTGGTGTAAAGGAAACTGGTGTTTGCAAATAATACTTAAGCTATACTGTAGCTGTCCATTTTATATCTAATGGTCCATTATATCTAGTGAATTAATTTCAGGGAAACAGAGCACTTGGAGCAGTTTTTAATGTTTTTATGCACTGTGGCACTTTTTGTACACTGGTTATAAGCTATATGGGACTCTCATATTATTATACACTGAGTGGCCAGTTTATTATGACCACCTGACGTTTGTAAGCAAATTAGCTATAATTTCGCGCTGAAGTTGATAGAGGGCCAGACCATTATAAATAGGAAAGCAGGTTGTTTACCACGACAGCAGAAGTGATTTTTTTCTGAAGAGATGGGTAAACAACGCGATTTAACAGCCTTTGAACGTGGGATGATTGTTGGTGCTCAGAGCCATGGAGCGAGTATCAGCAAAACAGCAGAATTCGTTAAATGTTCAAGAGCAGCTGTTGTTAAAGTGTTTAAAGACTGGACTGTCAGATGAAAATCTGGGTCTGAACGTGCGAATTGTGGCCGTCAGCGACTAGTCAATGTTAGGGCAGAACGGAGAGTGGCAAGACTGGTACAAGACAACAGAAGGGCAACAGTGCAGTGTCAGATTCCTCGCATCACCTTTCAACATCTCGTGGAGTCACGAGGCGGCGCAACAAAGTCATCTCGTGGAGTCATCTCGTGGCCCAACGAAGTACTGATGGGGTGATCATAATAATCTGGCCACTCGGTGTATAGTTATTGTTATAAAGTGAATGATTTAGATATGATTTATATTTGTTTATAATATGATGTAGTATTTAAAGCGCAGTTCAACATTGATGAATTAAAAATTAAACACTGCTTCAGGTATCAAGTGCAGACACCTAGACTCTTGAAATCCTTCCGGTCATAGCCAGATCTCAAACCATTCTGATAGGCAAATCATTGGCATTCCTGATAGTACTACTGGCTTACTGGCCAGAAAGGCTGCCCATCATATGATGGTCCAATAGGAATGTGTGGGATGTCAGGCTTAGAAGCAATCTTTAACAATGCTCAGGAGATACTCTTCATCTCTGTGAGCCTCCACTAATGATCAGGAAACAAACTAGCATTATTATTACCAATCATGTGATCACCATGCCCCTATGACATATTCATTAAATGGTTTAATTTTTAAACAAAGCCATGTCAGTGAGAGCTGCCAATGTGCACAATGAGATTTCTCAATCTGAATCTAGAAATAAATACTTTTCTTAAAGAAGACAGACACTGCTTAAAACAATTACAATCATGATAATAATAGAAATAATAACAATAGTGATAATAGTAAAAACAAATTTAAAAAGAAGGGGAAAAGTCATATGTGTTGTCCTTTGGTCAGCCTATATTAAGCAATCAGAGTGTTTGTTAAAACTTTGCCAAAGTATAAAATCCCTTCATATCCTAAAATTACAAGGAATTTAGGTAGGAAAATTAGTAATTGACAAGCTAACCAACATTTATTGACACTGCTAAATTTTCTTATTGACAGCTTGCCATCAAAAACCTCAAGAAAGAGTTAATACCTATTTTCAGCAAATGTACTGGACTTATTCTATTTATACAAAAAAGATTGCTAAAACCTTTAAACTAGCATTCGTACAAGGTGAAGGTGCATCTAGTTATGGTTAAGTTGGATATAAAAGTAACTTAAAGTGCAGCTACATCATCAACTAAACCAATTTGTGAGGAGTGGTTTGACTTTTTTTTTTTATTCAGCTGAAGAAAGGGTAATAGGAGATTAAAAGAATAAAAGACAATAGTAATTTCAGAATATTATAAGTCAGGGTCACCTAAGTTTTAGCACAAAAATGAGATCCGCCCCTAAATGCTTACAATAATAATTAACAGATGGATACACAGTAATACATGTACAAACAGTATGAATATATATTAAATTAAATGTGTAGTGTAAAAATGAAAAAACAAAACAAAAACAATAGTTTACAGGTTTCAAAGTACTAACTTTAAGTGAGTGACTTATCCGCAGTGAATGTATTGCTAGATTAGTATATAATCTCCATATTATTAACCAAGTTATTATCTTGGATGACATTTAAAGCCAGGAGGAGAATTCAAAGAGCCTCAGTCTTTCTTACTACAGAGCAACGAAATTAGCAGTAGCTTCTCTGACCAATCATCTCAGTAATATATTAAGATTCTGGACTGCCCCTCAAATTTGGAAAACTGAGAAGAAGCTGTTGTCATCAGTATTTTTGTAGCATTTAACCAGTTAACAACGTACCTGGTGAGGGGCTTTGCAATGGAATAACTGAATACTCAGGAGTTAAATCTTAAAAATGCATTCAAGTACCTTAACTATTCACAAAAATGTATCTCATTTTGGTACAACTCGGCTGTAGATCCTCAAATCATCTCTGAATTGGTGCCGACACTGTCCTTCCTTCTGGAGGGTGGTTACTTCTGTTCCCCATGGTCCCTGTGTGTGAGTCACCACTTCAAGCTCATTCCCGTGATGGACTACAATCTCAATTTAGTTTACTAATTTGTATTGAAGTTATAGTCTATCACGGGAGCGAGCTTCGAGCGGTGGCTACTTTACAACACACACAGGGACAATGGGGAACAAAAGTAGCCACCCTTCAGAAGGAAGGGCAGCGTTGGGATAAATTCAGAGATGATTTGAGGATCTACAGCTGAGTGATACACAAATAAGATACATGTTTGTTAATAGTTAAGGTACTTGAATGCATTTTAACATTTAACACTTGAGTGTTCAGTTATTCCATTGCAAAGCCCCTCACCAGGTAGGGTGTGAACTGGTTAAATGATGCAAAAAAAAACTGATGACAACAGCTTCCTCTCAGTTTTCCAAATTTGGGGGGAAGTTCAAAAGCTTAGCTGAGACTATTTGAGGATCTACAGCTGAGTTATACACAAATAAGCTACAATCTTTTATAATAGGTAAGGTACTATAATGCATTTGTACGATATAACTCTCGAGTTTAGTGTCACTTTAAATGGAGAGAGACTTCTATTTCTGTACTCATCTGTTATTAGTTAATGTTAGTTTCATTCTTTTTAGTTCTATGTGTGTGTTTTTTCACTAGTGACTGACTAGAAACAGCTCGCGGTATACTGAGACCGATACAGCCGGGACGGATCCCGACATTACTGTCGAGATCCACCCCGCTGCGTTAATTACAGCTGGCTCTGCCTGTCTAGAGGCAGAGCCAGCTGTACCTGCCCCTCCTCCGTCCATTCCTTCAGTCAGCGATAGAGGATCGGACAGGGGAGGGGGGGAATCCCTGCAGGGAGCCGGGAGTGACAGTCACGGCTGTCTGCAGGGACATGATCGAGAAGTGAGCCAGCAACGGTATGCGTTCGTTCACTTCCCGATCTATTGAACCGACGTGTGACAGTTTCGTTGTCACACGTCGGGTCGAACTATGAGGTTGAGTGAAAATCACTCACCTCATAGTTCTCCTTTAAGATGTACAGTGCCTGGCTATTGTAGAGGTCTTCAAGTACTGATCATTGAATTAAATACCAAACACTACAGAGACTCAAGCAAATAAGTAAGCCCTTACCCTCTGATTGTAAACAGTGAAGTTTTCATATAAATCCACAATGCACTCTGCTTTCTTGAGGAACTTGCTGTATGATTCTTCTGTCCACCAGTGGATGAGGTTCCCAAATGAGTCATACTGGCCACCTGCCATTAAGTGGTAGGTAGAAAATTACTTATAGTGCAGTAGATGTCTATTGTCATTATAAGTTTCCTATGACAAGCAGGATATATGGTTTGTGTTAAGAAAAAGATACTTACCCCAGTCATCATAACCATGTGTGAGTTCATGTCCAATAATGGTCCCTATACCTCCATAGTTTAAAGACCTGTAAAGAGACAGATTTAAAAAGTAACATCAGAATACTGTATATGTGAAAGACAAATATACTTGGTACCAGGGGCGTAACTACAAATCATGGGGCCCCATAGCAAAACTTTTGGGCCCCCCAGCTAACTCCCTCTGTAGCGGCTGACAGTGTCATCTGTGAGAATATGTGTAATTGATCTTAATATGAAGTATGTATCAAGGACAGGCAGCATGAGAGCTGCAAGCATAGTCAGTAGACCACTAGGAAGCAGTGCTGGGGGTAAACATTATAGTACCACTAATTATAGTTACCATAATAATATTTTGTAGCCCCACAAACCTCAGCCACTGTATAAGGTTTTACCAGAAGTGAAACTCGGATTTGTGACTGCATTAGGCACAGAGGGTTCATTTCAGTCTGTAGCAGAAGTTCAAAGGACAATACATCTACACTGCTAAGATAGATAAGCTAATGTTTCTTACTGCATAGAGGGGGATCTGTGACTAAATGATCCAGAGCTCTGCTTTCATCCCTTCTATACCGGAAAACTAATGGGGCCCCACTCTACACCAGGCCCAATAGCAGCCGCATGTGCTCGTATGGCTATTGTTAAGCCACTGCTTGGTACATATGTTGTGCATCTACTAGAGAAGCCTTTATCAACCAGGGTTACATGGAACCCTGGGGTTCCTCCAGAGGTTTCTAGGGGTGCCTTGACCAGGGAGTAGTGGTGGAGCCCCCACTTAAAAGTGCCTGCATACATGCATTACTGTAAAGACCACTTCAATGACCACCAGTGTAAGAGGGCACTACAGTGACCATTGATATAAGAGGGGAATTTCTCCACTGACCCCAATGTGAGGTCACTGTCTGTTCACTGTCTGGTAATTATTAAGATTGGGTTCATTTTCATGCTGTAAATAATGCTATCGTATGGAGCAGAGGGGATGTAAAAAGTTATCTTCCTTGGGAGTCAAATGCACTAGGTACACCTGATTCTTTACACTTTTATTTATTATTATATGTATAACCCATGCTAATGTAACTTAAAGTTTATTTTCACTTTCTAAGTCAAATTTGAGAAAACCCCTCTATATGTTTGTTATGAGTTCCCATTCACATAGCATTCCTAAAAATATATATTTTTTAAATGATTTGTTACTTCCGTGTAGCAGGACTTTGCAAGCTTCTCTCACAATTTTAAAGTGACAAAAAAACTGTCCCCATAGGAAGACTAGAGACAGACCAATTTCCCCCTCATTTATATACAATGTTTCTATATCTTTAACCCTTGGTTAGGACAGATATTGATCAAATCTAATTTACAATTGATAATGAGGTTTCTTATGTTAGCTTCAACCTGCCCAGCCCCCCTTGCATTCCAGAGCAAAACTCAGTTCAGAGAACAATTTTTCTTTCAAAATAGAGCATGTATTGTGCAAACAGCAATTTGATTTTTCTTAAGTTATGCTATGTGAATGACAAATATGTAACATATAAAATAGGTGTTCTCTTTATTTGGCTTCAAAAGTGGAAATACACTTTAAGCTGTAGATATAATCATATTTAGCAGGGATTTCCTGAGATTTGAAAGTTATTTCTAAGGTTCCTCAAATTAACATGTATTTTGAATCCTGGAGAATGAGCTGGTTACAGGTCATCGGATTCTGTCTGTATGACAGTTAACAAACTCTCCAAGACTTGCATGAACAAAGAGCACAACTTCTTATTGACAGCCATTTGACTTAAAAACCAGGATTCTATGCTCCTACCTGCATGCATTTTCTCTGTACATATACTAAGTGCTAAATCATTCTTTGCCCTAAACTAATACCACTCAGCGACATGTTTATGAAGGTTTGGAAATCGCTTGGATCTACCTAACAACCAAAAGTATTATTCCATATAAAGCTGCAATACCACTTATGGCCACTTGGTAGTAGGCTTTCCTTCAAAATTATAGTCTTTCTAAAATAAGAAGCATATAAACTGTTGTCTCTACCCTACCCAAAGTTCATTTACAAGCCAAGTTTAAAATACTATATACATTTACTATATGCTCATGTTTAAAAAGGTAAAATAAGCACATGCTGTTTGTATAGTGTTCTAAGTATCTCTATTTTATTATACTATTGCATTTACAATTTACTTTTCGGGAGTCTTTTCATGTCTTATGTTCAGAAAATAGATTTTTTGGAAAGGAGAATAGGTACAAATGTAGCTGTAATGTTCTGAACACTGTGCATGTATATCTCATTTTATCCTTTGAAGTTTAGATCACCTAAAACTTACGTACTGGGGGAAATCTGGATCGTAGAGAGTGGGTTGCAGGATCCCAGCAGGAAACACTAAATGTTTAAAAAAACAATTACAATAATTTTAATATAAGGGATTAGGTATAAACAGCATACAAAAAAGGTGCTCTGTGTTGATCAGTGCTGAAGACTCACCCATTTGGTTTTTGTTAGGAAGATAGTAGGCATTCAGGGCCTGGGGAGGAAGCAACCACCTGTTAAGTGTAATAAGCTAACGTTAATACAAGGTCTTTTGTTTGCTGTATTATACACACATGTGATTACATGCAAGCATGCTACTGAAAAAGTATGGTGCCTTACAAACTGTGACAATACACTGTAAATTAGTTACCGGATGGCCAACAAAATCATTCAGACTTTTGTGATATCCGTGTCTCTTCAGTTTTTCCTCCACAAGTTGGACCCATGTTAAGTCTATGAGCAGACAGATGTAAATGGATGTAAATGGATTACCTCCAATCCATCACATTTAGGTCCAAAAACAAGGAAAAGGACCCAACCTTTCAAGGTTTTTTTTCAGACCTAGACAGACCTGGAGGTAACCACCTGCCCACAGGCTAAACACTGAGCTTCCAATCAGATCTGCCTTAAACTGACAAGCGAATCTGATCAGAACGGACTATGGGTATAAGTGCAGTAACAAAAAACTTTTTATTGAAGAAGTTTCAGTTTATCAAAAACAAATAGGAAACAAAATACAATGCAAATAAAAAATTAACCCCTTTGTGACACAACTTCAGAAAATGTTTTTGTTCCTGGGAACCGGAGCAATTATGCCTTTTTGCTATGTGTTTGTTTAACCATAATTTCCATCTTCCTAATGCATTGCAACTACACTTATTATATACTGTTTTTTAAAGGACAAATTGGGCTTTCATTCGATGTGCATATATATACATTTGTTATTTTTTATATAAAAAATACAAACAAATGAAAAAAAACAACACATTTTTCACATTAATAATGTTTACATAATTAGTGAAGCTAAAAGAAAGTAATTCATAATAAATTATTTTATTTGTCCTGATTTATAGGGTAGATCATGTGTCTGGGATTTGGGAGTTATAGGTCACAAAATACAATTTTAGTTTGGAACAATTTTAAAATGTTGTATGTTTGTCTCCTATCTTTAATAATCTCCTCGGCTTTATATTTTCTTATCATTTGTTTATTAAATATATTTTCTTTACTTTTTTAAACTTTGTAAAAAAAAGTTTTAGGTTAATTTTTTTATTTTTACATTGTTTAATTTTTTTAAACTAGGGGACACCAAAAGGGTTATTTTTTATTTACATAAGCTTTGATACTTTGTATCAGTTTGTAACAAATTGAGTCAGCTCACAGCTCCATAACACAGTGAGCTGCAATCCAGCTAAGTGACTGTCCCGGCTCTGTGATCACATGAATTTGCTACCACTGTGATCACATGGCTGGGACCACATAATCTGTTGTTGAGGGTCTGCCTCTGACCCAGAGGCATCCAGCAACGGCAGTAAATCAAAATCCCTCTATGGACCAGCACTCATTGTACTGCATTACGGGATTATAACTTCACCGGTCGTTAAGGAACTGAAAGATCGTGATAGAATAATCATGTCATCGGTCAGGAAGGAGTTAATACAGTTCGTAAAACAATTCGTAAAATAACTGTTTCAGACAAATGCCAAATTTGGGTTAATGGAAAAAGGTGCTTTCCCACTGTCCTACTGAAAATGAAAAAAAAAAACATTTTTTTTTCAGGAGCAGACGTTCAAAACCTTTATACTTACGCAGATTTATCCACTTCTTGACGGATCTTCTTCACTGACTGCTTGATGCTGTACCTTATACTGTTTAAGATATTCTGGAAATACGTCTTTTCGTGAACATCAAACTAGGAAAAGGATAAGGATTGAGAGTTGTACAAACAACCAGGACAACTGGATTTTGCATTTACTTTATATGTTCCCTAAAAGAAAACTTTAAATGGTGTATTTATAAAAATAATTACAGAGCCATTCATCCTGCACAACTGCATGTACATTCATTCTGTGCAAATGGGAGAAAAATCAAATGTTATTGGTATATTTACACTCCAGGTTGAATGTAATATCATAAAATGACCACAATATGGCTACTAAACGTAGTGGAGGATAGTAGGAAATAAATACTTATTTATTGGTACTGACTGGTTGCCATTGGCAAATGTTCCAGATTCTTTCTGCTACAGTTTTTATAATTTCCCCTAAATGTCTTTCATGCTAGCAGTCTTTAAAAAATAGTTCTCCGATGTTAGTAGTCATATTTAATTTTAGATAGAGTGTGGGGGGGGCTTTAAGACTATAAGATTGCTATTTTTTGCCATCTGTGTTTCATTTGGGAGATGTCCCTTTACTCCCTGTTCTGTAGACTGAATAAGAAGTAAGAGGATGTTTTTCCAATATGAGGGAAAATCCCCTTTTAGATACTTGTTACAAGATTTTTGGATTAACCTTAACTTTCATTCCCAGGGAGATTGGGGATCAGAACAATTAGAGACAGTAAATCACCCTAATGGGAACACAGACAGCAATACAATTCTGACGAGGATCTAAACCATACTACTCTGTCCAAAAATGCTCCAAACACTTCAACTGTGAACTGTAAGCAGTGAAACTTACTTCATATTCTTTATCCTTGGCCTCTGGCTCCAACAGGAAATCTGGGTACCCAATCATGACCATCATGTGTTTTAACTGTCAAGAGAAATCAGTATGGTAACCAAATCTGGAGTTAAATCAAGGCCTAGCCATGCTCCTTTCGCAACAAGAGTGCAGAAAAGCAGCACCTTGTGATGGGTGTGAGTATGCGTGGCCATACACATTACAATCTGTTCGTACAATCTTTTTATTGTTTAGCTGATCTTTAGATCTACCAATAACGATGTAGTGCTAAGGTCTGCATCTATAATAAATGTAGTTATATCCAGGGCCGGATTTACTCTCTCTGTTGCCCCAAGGCCAGGTTCCTCAATGTGCCCCTCTACACGCCCCCCCCCCATGGAGAATGGACCTGCAGGCTGCATACAAGTGATCTCGGCCACATCGCCGGGATCACTTGTGAAAAACAAGCAGCGGCTTTCCCGCTGTTCATTTAGCTCTACTTGCCAAAAGCAGGGCTAAATGTAGAAAACAACTACCCGCCCGGCGCCCGGAATTGCATGTCCGGGCATCGGGAGATAGGAATAGGAACCCCTTCTGCCCCTCTACTCCCTGCTGCCCTGAGACCGGGCCTTGGTTGGCCTTGTGGGAAATCCAGCCCTGGTTATATCCAATCAGGCTGGCCCTAATACTACATAGTTGGTGGTAGATCTAACAGAGATTTTATGATTAGTTTATGATTAGATTATGAGGTATATTGCTATATTTAGACTTCAAAAATGTATTTGTGTTCCTGTGGAGCCCCCTTGTATCCTAGGTCTAGACAGTGTATAGGGCCTTGATTTGTGCCCAATTTAAAATTAGGTTGTACATCTGGGCCTAAGATCCATTAGGGTTCCTAAGGACACAGCGATCAATTTGAAGTCTAACATAGGTACATCTAGGCACCACAAGGTGGCTGCCCTTCGGCACTAATATTACCTTACAAACGTTTAGTTTAGGTCAGGTTGACTTTAATGTGACATTAAACCCTCAGATTTTTTAACATAAACCAATACAGTAATGTGTGCCTTACTGTAATCCATAGTAGTTTCCCTCCTCTTTGCTGCTCTTCCTTTTAAATCCGTATTTCTTCTCATGCTGGGGGAGAACTTCCCTTTGCAGCTGAGTGCCTCTTCCTGTAGTGCTGGCTCAGGTTGCAAACTTACACACAGACACCATGTAGCCATTCCAGAGACAAGGCAGTCTGCTGCAAAACAGAAGTTCTGCCCAGCATGAGAAGAGATACAGATTTAAAAGGAAGAGCAGCAAAGAGAAGGGAAACAACCATGGATTACAGTAAGGCACACATTACCGTATTGTTTTATGTTAAAAAATCTGAGGGTTTAATGTCACTTTAAGTTTAAAAAGAAATATAACATATTATGCATTCTAGTCCGCCAACAGGACTTTATTTACCCCCAAATTGCATTAGCTGGTACTTCATATTTTTATCCTAATAGAAATCAAAGTGAAGAACACTTTTAATCAAACCCACCCACAGGGATTTCATTTTCCAATATACCCCCATAATTCTTTTTTATCTCTTAATGAAGTACATACTGTATAGAGACACATTTAATCTTATGAGTGGCATATATATTGGCTGATGTCACCCTCATCGTGGTTTGGTTTCTGTATATGAAATGTTACTAGCCAGCATACAGGGGTCAGCCTTGTTATTCTGACAGCTGATAGAACTTTGTTACCTGAAACAAATACAGCATTTAATCTGCATACATCAAAGTCTTCAGTGGTAGATCCTAAAACATTTGTCTACATTCATCATAAGGGAAATATCTATCCATATGTTTGCATATACTGTATATCACACATAACATTAACCCTGTTTTTTCCAACGATATAATATATTTCTTGCCTCATTCTTACACCCCATTGACAAATACTGTTTGCTATTAGCCTTTGGAAAAATCAGGTCACAATCCGAGAATATGAGGTTTTTAACATAGGATGCCAAGGCTGAAAATGCAAGTTGCCTGGCTACAGTGCTGACTTTCTGTTTTTAATGTTTTAAGTCACTGACCCTGAACAGATATGCAGAAAATGACCAGTCAGCAATACTTTTTTCTTATCTGACTACAGTAAACTAAATTACCATGACTTAGTGAATGTTGTACATAAACACTTCAAGTTGTATTGATTTTTGAAATAATAAATATAGTATGCAGTTGTGAACTTTGTCACAAAAGGTACAAATCAAGTTTTTGCCACTAAGAAATTAGTTATTTCTGTTTTCTTCCTTATAGGTACATTTAAACCTGTGGGTGCACTTTTTCAAACTTTTTTAAGTGCATGACATTGTGTTTTGACACCCTTTTATAAGGTGTGTTGATGCATGTGTATCTGCTTTATTGTCCACAGTTTATTATATTGCAGAGGTGATAAAGGTTCATTATTGAAAACAATATATAAACATAAGCAGCCTGAGCTGGCTTTAAATTGGGTTGGTTGCCAGGGGAAAGCCTTTGTTATTATGCATTGGGAGTGCAAATTAATGCACATAACGCATGTTTCTATACACTATGAATAATTATAATGGGCCCCTTGATGCAAACTAATGGTTTTAAAAAAAAAAATATGTATAATTTTTTTCACAACACATTGCACTGAATGAGCTCCATCTAAAATAATGTTTTTCGGCATGTTATGCTCTTCTATGCATTATAGTAAGTGCCATACAACTAGAATCTAACAGGCCCTTAAACTAATGACAATTTTAGATTGAAAACATGTGCAACCCTTTCAGTGTGATGTAAATGTTTATTAGTTTATTATTTATATGGCTTTCCAGGTTAACACAGTATAAATGGGAGATATATTTTTCACACACATACTTTGCAGGTCCAGCAATGTTAACAATTGCTAAATATATCTTTAAGCTAGACTTTTATCAGCATTCCCAATCTTCTCGGTTTATTATCCTATAATTCAACTCTTTTAAGGCTGGTAGTGAACCTAGCCAAATTGGAAGCTTTAGACATTAGCATGGCTCTAGAAATATGCCAGCACTGGAAAGTGAGATTTTCTTCTAAATGAAAAGTATAACCAGGAATTAAAATTACAAGAGGCTGCAAAGCTTTTTATCAACATAATTATCCAGAACTGTGTAACAGCCTAATCCAATGGGACTGCTCTTTGAAAGGCTGAAATAACTGCTTTTAGAAGGCTGTTAAGTCAGAAACACTGCAATAGGACCATAGTAAACAAGACAGCAGCCCCAATACAGGCCTGGGCAAATTATGTTCGGATTAATAAAACAGGGTGAGTTAGGAGCTTCAAACCAAGCTTATCACTTACTACTTTCTTTGAACTGTTGATTGAATTGTTTTAGCACCATATAATCCTTTGTGTACAAATCATTTGCTTCTAATGCTTGACATACTTATCATTGTTTACCTATAATAGGTCATGTTAGAAGCTCCTTGTATGCAATGTTGTCAATATTAATAGGATGCAACAGGGCAGGGTTTTGTTTTTTATTTGCTTTTAAGTTGCACTGGGCTCAAGCATGTTCTATACCCATTTGAATTAAATGTCTGCCAATAGAATGCATCTCATATGCACTACAAGAACAGTAATAATATTATCCCTTCACTACTTCTTTATAACTGACCGTCATAAGAACAGTATTCTTTATTAAAGAAAAGACAAAGCCTACTAACGCTTTTATGTTGTATCTTGAACACATTGTGAAAGTAATCCAAATGCATATCGTGTTTTACCAAACCAGTTCACAAATATCAATACTGTGCTTGTACTGTATATATTGACATCCAGCCACATCTCATCCACAAAGTTCTGGCTTACTGGATAACCATAATATTACTCCAATAGCCGCATTCTCACTTACACACAACTACCAATCAAATTTAGTGCTCGCCGCCATTAACGTCAGACCAGGCCAAGCTTCAGTATCTTGCTAGTTGGCTCTGCTGGCTCTCAAAATACCTGAAAATGCCTGCATCCAATCAGATTGCTCAGGTATTTTGACAGCCAGCGAGGCTGACTAGCAAGATACTGAAGCTTGGTCCAGTGGGAGATTCCTCACAGTTTAGCGTAGATGGAGGAATCTGTTGCACTTTTTCCATCTGACCATAGAAAATCTCCAGATAATCTATAGGTGTATGGCCAGCTTTAGGCTGGAAAGTGTTAATCCCTTAATGTGAGTAGCCTGGATGGTACACTCTTTCAAGCCAAACTGATAAGAAGTGTGCGGTCTATACCGCACACTTTTTTGGGGTAAGATTGGTTATACACTGAGTGGCCAGATTATTATGACCACCTGACGTTTGTAGGCAAATTAGCTACAATTAGCTATAATTTTGCGCTGAAGTTGCTAGAGGGCCAGATCATTATAAATAGGGAAGAAGGTTGTTTACCACGACAGTAGAAGTGATTTTTTTCTGAAGATATGGGTAAACAACGCAATTTAACAGCCTTTGAACGTGGGATGATTGTTGGCGCTCGGAGCCATGGAGCGAGTATCAGCAAAACAGCAGAGTTCGTTAAATGTTCAAGAGCAGCTGTTGTTAAAGTGTTTAAAGACTGGACTGTAAGCCGAAAATCTGGGTCTGAACGTGCAAATTTTGGCCGTCAGCGACTAGTCAATGTTAGGGCAAAACGGAGAGTGGCAAGACTGGTACAAGACAACAGAAGGGCAACAGTGCAGTGTCAGATTCCTCGCATCACCTTTCAACATCTCGTTGAGTCACGAGGTGGCCCAACGAAGTCATCTCGTGGAGTCATCTCGTGGCCCAACGAAGTACTGATGGGGTGGTCATAATAATCTGGCCACTCGGTGTATAGTATATAGTGCATAGATTAGGATATATACTGCATGTAAGGTTGATTAATATGACTCTAATTTATTCACAGAAAGTTATCTTGGATCCTTGAATATGGTGGATGCTGTATTGTTATAGTTATAAATCTGCACATATACAGTATGGTGAGTAGCTTCCTTACCACTGTATAATAGGATATGGATAGCGTCATCCTCTTGTGATTGCTCATAATCTTTTTACTACAATAGATTGATCTAATGCTTTGGGGGAAGCCATGTTAGACTGTCTCTGCGTCTGCCCACCAGGCCAGCAATGGGTAATGTTTTATGTGTATGGCTCCAGACCTATGTGTATAATCACGATTTCTGAAGTAAGATGACATTCAGTGCAACCACGCTATATATGTAAATAAATCTGATGGGTATTTGTGTGTAATTGAAAGCGCGGCTGTTGGAGTAATACTATTGTTTTCCCAAAGGCATGTTTTAGGACTTGATGGACATGTGTCTTTATTCAACCTCAAATACTATGTAACTATGTAAGGACTTCACATACACATGTTTTTACCTACTTCTGTTTTCAATATCCCCATAATGCTAATACAAAATGCAATTAACATTAGGACCTTGTTATATAAATATTGGTTGTACATTCAAGATAGAGAAATGTTATTCTCTGAGCTCACAGAAACATTCCCACAATCAATACCGATATAGTTGAATTTAGGGATTAGTTCACCTTTGTTCTTGCAGCTTCTTTGGTCTCTTTGTCCATCCAGTCCAGTTCATCTAACCTGTGATCAAGTATATGTTTAATATCTTCAACAAGTTGTTGTACCTGTAGAGAGCAGAGAGAAAATACTGAATATTGTGTAAGAGCTTCTTCAGGTGCAAGGTAGGGTTAAACTTCTGTTGGAGGTGACAATTTAGTGTTACAGATTAGTTTAGGGGTTAGGTTGTTGTTGGGTCATGATGAAGCAGGAGGTTATATTTTTGTGTTATGAGTTGACTATGGTTAGGGTTTAGAGATGGATATGTTAAGAAGCAGGTCAAGAATAACATTAAGGATCAATTAAAGTTTTACACCATTGTTTTCCTAATAGTCCTGTAGCAATGTATATTATGATTTGTAACCCATTTTCACATGAAATATGCCCTTATACCTTAGTGAAAATGTTTTTCTGCTCTCTGACTCCAGTACTCTATGATTCCATAGCTGCACAATGGTCACACCCCTCATTATTTATGCTCACACACACACACACACACACACACACACACACACACACACATACACACATGTGCTGTGTAAAACGAGAGGAGGTGTGTTCGCCAATGTATTAGAGAGGGATCACACCTGTGTGGTACCCTAATGCAGGCATTTTAATGCAAGTTGTATTGAGTGTATTGCATTTAAACAGCCCATTATTTTGAATGGGCTGATAAAACACCCAAGCATGACTGTGTAACACAATAGCTCGCTGCAACTGTGTGTTGCCTTAGTGTGACAGGTTCCATAGGTGCATAGTGTTATAAACCATTGTGGTATCACAATGCAAAAGTGTGATCCCTGCCTTACAGTGCAGCCACATTTCAGTCTATGAAAATGGAGGGGTTTTTATATCTGTCTGAATATCTACATTATGTTTGTGGCTTTAATTGGGTTTTAAGGGTTAGGAATGGTTTCTTACAGAAATATGGCTCTTTGTAAAATAAAACTGTTGCACATTCTCATTGCTTAACAGACATCACCATCATTTATTGTTGCTTAAAATAGCATAGAAATTGATATATATTTGGAGTTATACATCAGCAGATACATCACATTTGCAATTTTATTTATAGTAATTGGTGCTACAAATACCATAACTCTTAATCAGCACAGCGTGCATCGTTTCCTTACCTTTCCCTTGCTGTTTGATGAGAAATATTCTTCTACAAAGAGGGCTCCTAGCGCCATTCCAAAGTGTTTATTGGCTTGAGTAAGGCATACTTTTACCAGCTCTAGCTGCTTTTCTGAACCCTCCATCTCCTTAGACAGGTCATGAAGGGCATCTCGGAAGGGAGTGGAGAGATGTTCACTCAGTGCCACCACAAGTCTCCAGAGCATGTAATTGTGAAGGACACTATGGAAAGCATAAAATGAGTGTTATATTGATCATGCTGGCTTTATCTCATATAACCAAAATTCTTATTAAATATTTTAACGTACCCTTGAAATAATATTACAACAAGAAGCAATAGAACTAGAAAAATCAGCCCATTACACAAATAATTCCATTTGATTAGATGAGTTTCAGTTTGTCCCTGTTAGTTACAAGGTTAAAGCCATCATAACTAAAGTTAAAATGCATGATGAGTAACTAAGGAATTACTGTTTCACCAGGGGTGATAGAAGGCGGAGGATTTTGGGCATATACTTGAAGATTTATTTTCTTCCACTCTTATAGCTAGCTATTTGGCAGGTTTAATCCTCAAATTGTTCTTTACATTTTAAATCCTAGTAATTGAAATGAAGCTTGTGTAATCTCCCAGCTTTTAATGAACTCATCCTCCAGGGCACTCGTCACACAATCCCTTTTTCACTGCAGACTGCTCCGTATGCAGAAGAGTACATGAAAAAGTGAGGTCTAAGTACAGAGTGACAGTATTATCCCGAACACATCCTGAGCCAGCAATCCTTATTATATGTCAAAAAGGAAGCTTGTATTATATTATATCCCCATCATAAAAGCATTGTCTTACTGTAAACGGTCTGACTATCAAATGATGTTTATCTATTATTCTGGTACTACATAATGCTTTTGTATTTCCAGATCTGTATACTACTCAGAAACACTCAGCTTTTCATACATAAAATAATGTTTTATTCTAATACTGTTTCTTGCAAGCAAAATCTGAATCCAAACCTTGTACTGAGAACACAATGCTGGTCTGCTCAAGCAATCACTTTGCAAACACAACACATTGACATTCAGAACACACTAAACTCTCACCAGATCAATGACCATTAGCTTAATGTCCCAACCATAGAGTCCAGTCTGGGAGAGGTTGTGGTATGTCAGCTGCGAGTCAGCCCAGGGCTTTGTATGACATTATAAGGAAGGAAGAAGAGAGTGGAATAATGATTGAGGAGGGGGCTGGAAAGACAAAGCAAGAGATGTAGGTTGGCAGAGAGAGAAGGTGAATGCTGAGTGCATTAATGGAGACACATAGGAAGACAGAGAAATAAGAAATTCAGATGAGATAGTGGAACGAAACAAGTCTGATATTGAAGCAAAAAAAGGAGAATAAAGCTAGGGCTATTCTGTTTTATAAGGTAAGATGAAATCCTTGCTAGTAAAAAAGTCATAAAGTATACTTTAAAAGGAAACACAAGAAAATAGAATTGTAAAAGTAAGTCAGGCCATGTAGTAGGAGGTAGAAGAAAGTTTAATGGTAAAAAGAAATTACATAGAAAATAGAATTTGATAAGGAGAGTTCAGTAATTTACATTACTTTCACCTTTGTAGGAACAATAAAAAGTCTGCAGTGATCCTGGTGCCTTGTCTTTTTCTAAGTCACCCCTGAATTCCCCCTGGACAGATGCCAATAACTGCCCCATTATTGCCGTGATGAAGGTGTCAAATGTCACCTCTGATACATAGAATAAATGAATGGTCTTTTATTGATTTTGACTAGTGATACTATGTGTACTAGACCTCTTACTTTAATATTGATTGCTGCCAACAACAAAGAGATGAGCATACATCTCCTGGTACATACTGTACATCTTACAAGTGATATTATGATGCTTGTAAAGGGTCTATTCTTTCACTTCACTGCTGTACTTACTATTAAATATATATAAATGTTTAAAAGGAATGCCACAAATAACATCACCCACTAAGCATTCGTATCTGATTGACCGGGAGGCAGTTAAAAAAAAACAACAATTGCAGTTATATATTTATATTATATACTTCTGTTTATTATTAAATGCAACTAGTGAAAATAATTGTCTTTATTTCAGCTTATCCAGGAGCCTTCAGACTGGGAGAGGTAAGAGGCAGCACTTGAGACCATTAAAGCAGACCTTTACCCCCTTTGACTAAAAATCACATCACTGTGAATCTCTGCATGCTGATATGAAATCATCTTACATCCATTAGCTAAACAAATATATTTTTTTCCACTTCCTGGTCCACTTTGGCACAAATGATCTAATCGTGCCCAAGCATTACATGCTGGGAAGGTTACTTCAGCAGAGCGTTGCTGGGCAATCTTATCTGTAATCCACGAGATCTCAGGGAAAGGAATTTTCCTCCCCGGAGATGATGTTGCATGTTCACATGTCCTAATCACATGTGCCAGAGTCCCAGAAAGTAAAGGGAGATCTAGTAACATGCCCTTAGTTAAAATGGCCACTGTCAGAAAACTGGGGAAGAAAAGAAAAACAAGGTATGCAAAAAATAAAAAGCCTTTTATCTACAAATATCTTGTTTGTAGATTGTCAGTACTAAACATTTCTAAAGGTGCCTTAGTTGTTATTTTTAAGATATAGGTAAAGTTCCTTTTTAAGTTATCTTGCATGCACATGATCTGGCAAGGAACATAATCAATGGAGGAGGGAGCAAAGAAATTACTATCAGTTTCTCTTCTTCCACTGTCCAATCACAGGCTTTGATCAGGGTAGGTGACTTACATGTTGCTTAACTGCAGCAGAGAAAAGTGAGGTCACTAGACTAGCGGTCTGTAGGGTTGTAAAGCTTCCATGTGTGTATTTTTATGGCGCATTTCGCTGTTTGTCAAGTTCAGTTTATTTTTTTTACTAATAACAATTAAAGGGAGATATTTATCACCTAAAAGAATTCAGTTCTCTTGCAATTATTTTGCTATATCTTCCATCCTATTCTCCAGTTATTAACTGTAAGCCTTATACCCATGCAGAAATTGGGACCATTGGTAAATTAGACTTTGGTAGGTGTGGGGTGGAGTGCCACTGTGCTTATCATCCTCCATGAAAGGATTTGCGCTAGTGTTACTACTTTTGACCGTGTAACTTTTATTATTAGATTCTTACCCTTCTGTTCATTTGCTGGTTAAGTTGTATTGGACATTTGCTATATACTATTCACTGCCTGTTCGTGACTTTTCTCCACGACCACATCATTTAATTGCTTTCATTACATTTACCAAAGAAATTAAATGATTGTTCTCAAGCAGCTAGTCTAAAGTTTGTATTATACGTATTTAATTTACTCATCTACTATTATGTTGTAATATAATTTAGTAAGGTTTTTGTTTGTTGGTTTTACTATTCATAGCCTGTAGGGCCCTTTCTCACTAAATTGCCTTAAGTCTGGTGTTCCGAATATGAGCATCACTCTTGGAGTCCTCCATGTGCTGTGTTTCCTGTAGGCCCACCCAAATACCTCCATTCTCAAACCCTCTGTTCCTGATATATGATAAGATGGAAGAACGGTATAATATAGAAGTGCCTGACTGCCTTTTGCACTCTTTGCTTTAATTCTGTTTTGGGATTCACCAAAGAGGTCAATAATCATATACAGTACATATACAAGGGCAGTAAGCCTCTTTTGGTGGTATAAGAACCCATGTTGACATCATAGTGCTTTGCTCGTGTTTACACAAATGATTCTCCATTTGAATTGATCTGAATTGGTGCAGTGTGGGTCTATGTCTTACTATATAAACTCAAGATAGCAGTTTGGTCTTCTTAGTAGACATATGGTACAAATTTTCAGCAGCTGTAATTTGAGACGTGGCAGAGTTTAAACACACTTGTAATAAATTTAATTCCTTTCTGCAAAGAAATCTTGAATTAATGAAACAGACAAGGTACTTGTTCCTCAGCTGCCACTGGCATTGATTTTCAATGTAAAAGCATATCTCCTTGTCAAATGAATTGAAAGGCTTTTAGTTACTTTTCATTACACCATAAGTTATTTTGATACTTTATCTTTTGCCTCGAAGATGACAGAACACATGTTTACATCAAATAGGAGCTAAACAGCTGTCTTGGGGTAGGAATAGGAATACCACTCAGTATTCGCCTGCATCTTTATTTCTATGCAAGGCTATAAATTGTCTGCCAGCAGGATAAAACACCATGAGCTATGAATGTGATCTTGCGCTACCTGGGTTTTGGCTGTAGGGTAAGTCTTAAATTTTCAAACCCTGCATGATAGTTCTGGATATGAGCATGTGAATGTGGAATTAGCAATGTGCAGACATGCTGGGTATTGTAGTATGCCAAAGAACCACTAGTTGGTAGGATTACAATTCACTGATTGGTTGATGCTGAGTAAATGAACTATGAATTCCTATATAAAAAATTAAATTGTAATAAAACAATTTAGAATAGGTGAGTAATGTGCAGAGGGTTGACTAGAAGATAGACATAGGAAATATCGGAACCAGTCAAACAAGTGACAGCAGATATGGGAAAGATTCTTAGAAGAAGCAAGCCAATCAAATTAGGGAAAAGATATACACGAGAATTTGTCATATTTGAATCAAGATCACAATGTTGTATGGAAACTGAAACAAAGTAGAATCCCTTTACATTCAAACTTTGTGCTATTATTGCAAAATAGTCAGCAGTTGAAACTTGCAATTTTTCTATCTCTTTATTAAAGCCCAAATCCAGGATACATTTCACCCCCAGACCACTTCTTCCTCCCACAACCCCCTATCTGATTCCTGAATAAAAAGAAGAAAAATCTCTATATCAAAGCCCTTTTTTACGGTCACGTGATGCTGCAGCCTTCTCCTTTTCTGTGTTTTCCCTGCTTAGGTACTTCTTTGAGTATCCATGTCAGTGCCTGCATGATGTGGACACAACCTCTTGGATGTCTGTTGGCCAGAATCCTCTCAGTATCCAGAAGAGGACTGATCCAAGATCAGTGGAGGGGAGTGGAGGGGACCAGCAGTCTCAGGCGCCATTGCACTGCTGAATTCGAGGCCCCCCCACACACAGAAACGGTGGTGGTGAGGGACCTAGAGGGGGAACTTAGGTGAGTATACCCGACTTCACAAGCTAATGGGAATAAAAAAAATGGCTTAGAGGTGGGTGGGACAGAGGGGTGGAAGAAAATACTTTTTGACTGGAGTTGGGCTTTAAGCCTTGACTATGTAAAAGAAAGCTGAAGTGAATTATAGCTTTTTACACTGCTCTGTGGGTGGGCACTGCTACTTCTAAATTTATTATATTGTAAAGTGTATCCAGGCACTGAAAGGTTCAATACTCAAATAACTTGATTGGACTGGGACTAGCTGCTCTATATAAATATTTCTATAGCTGATTAAGGCTTTACTTCAGGGAACTGGAAATGTTCCCTCTGTGGTGGGGTTGCCCCCACACTTAAAGTGACATTAAACTCAGGAGTTAAATCTTAAAAATGCATTGAAGTACCCTAAGCATTAACAAAAATGTAACTTTTTTTGTGTATCATTCGGCTTGGAGTGTTGGCTACTTTACAACACAGACAGGGAGCATGGGGAACAAAAGTAGCCACCCTCCAGAAGGAAGGACAGTGTCAGCAGAAATTCAGAGATGATTTGGGATCTACAACGTGACACACAAATAAGATACATTTTTGTTAATAGTTAAGGTACTTGAATGCATTTTTAAGTTTTAACTTAGGTGTTACGTGTCACTTTAAAGGGTTAACCACTTTTTATGCCTAGGGCCCAGAAAAAGCTGTTTTAGTTATCTGATCACTGCTCACCCAGAAGTCAACACTATCCTCTTTCCCTCCTTTACTCCAGCTGTGGACTTTCCCTCTGCATGCTTATGTACAAACCAGGGCTGTGGAACCTACATCGTACTTGATGATATTAGCCGTCCTAGGACCGCCAGATGACAAGAAGAGTTTGTGGGAGCCACGGGAGTGGGGATCAGGTAAGTAAAACAGCTTTTTCCTGTCCCCTACGCATAAACAAGCAGTTAATCCTTTGAGTACGGGGGCAGCCCCACTGTAAGGGAACATTTTTAATTTCCCTGGAGTTGGGCTTTAATGATAAGCTGTGAGAATCTGGTGACTGTTTTGCTCCCCCACTGGATGTTAGGTGTTTGTATATACTTTTAGGACCATTATACTCTTTGTAATGCACATTCTGCTGTGAACTGACTTAGAGATGTAGAAGTTTTAATACTGCACCACCAGCAACATACCTAAAACAGGCATATACAGTATAAATGGAGTCTTAAATAAACTGTCACCTTGCACATGCAGGGCAAAGTTACAGTGTCTCATATAACATAAACTTTGCTTATTTACTCATGTTATATTACAGTGATAACCTTTGAAGTCTAACAAACATAAAGCAGTGAAGAAGCATTTATGATGTTAAAGGTATAATAACCCAATGGAGGATTACCTTTCATAAGTTAGAAGATTTAGATGAGATATTGGAGGGGTGGTGCAAGGTATGTAAGTTAATAGTGATCTCAGAGAAGTAAAGTTTACACTGATTAAAACAGCCCATACTCTATATCTACTGAAAAGTATTGTGAATAGTTTAGAGAGATTAAGCCACATTGTTTGAAGTGTGGGTCTGTAAGAGAGGGTTAGTGCCCCTTTTGGTTAGCGATCCACCCTGTCTCCAGTCAGTCTTACTGGGTATAAATAAGGGGGGAGCTACTAGAAAAGTGGGATTGGATGAGAAGGGAGTCATGAAGTGTGACAACATGTAGGGGCAAGAGAATCACATGTCTTCCCCTCAATGGGCCCCAGATTAAGGTCTATCCCAGTTTATGGACAAGATAATCTTATCAAGATTAATGGTGTCTCATACTTCACAGCAGGATACATTTGCACAAGTCATGAATATGTGGACCATCTAATGCTTTCTATAATATTTAGTAAAGAAAAGTAGAAAAGAAGGCTTCTGACTGCACATTCTGTTACTGGGTGAGCTTGAATGAGTGGGATGCAATGAATGGCATGAAGGAATGTGTATCCTTATGAATTTATGGCCCAGAGTAAAGTGGGGACAGCTGTATTGGCTTCTTACTGTGAATCTCAGGGTGTCTGATAAGGCACTGAAGATACTGCCACTTTTCTGGAATCTGGAACAGGTGACAAGGACTGTATGGACTGTATGAACTGTATGGACTGTATGCGTGTATGGGCCACATGGCCATACACAACCTGAAAGGCCAGAAAGTAACCCAACCTCTCAGCTCATGTACTGCAGTAGATCCTCTGGTGCTGGAAGGTAACCCGCTTGCTCCGCCACAGGGTGTTCTTTACAGCTATCTCTCTACCATCCTAAACCATATGTTGTTTTACTGTAGAAAGGTTAAGAGGATGTGGAATAGAATTGCAAAATAGTTAAGTGGTCTGTTAAAGAGACATACAAGCTGGACATGTGAAATTATAATATTTTTACCAAACGCCAGAGAAAGAGATGATGATTTATTAGTGTTGCTTATATTGGTAACTTGAAAGGAATTGCTTAGAGATTGGGGAAGATTAGCCGAAATTAGTAATAATATACATCAGATCTCTATATTTCTGATAGTGGAATTTTATGGGGCAATGGGAACTAGATCTGGGAACACAGAGGAAATTTTGGATACATATTTTTTTATTTCCTTGGCATGTAGTGGGAATAAATAATTAGAAAAAAAATAATTTTGCATAATTTACGTAATTTGTATACTCCCATATACTGTTCCTATGAAGCAAGCTGTAGAAGCTTTGGAAGCTTAGGAGCTGATTGTTTCAGCTCCTGGGCTTAGTGCTAGCCTGTAGCTGTCACAGGCAGCCCACCAGTTCCAGTGTTAGCACCGGCAGGGGCCAACTAGTCTCTATCCCAGCACCATTTTAAAATGGCACTAGGGATTTAAGTGGTTTTGTTAGATAGAGTGGAAGGATTAAACTCTGCCAAGTTTTTATTGCTGTCTGTGACCCCACTAGGTAGATTTACCATTCTATTTGTCCTGATAACCATTGTCAACAAAATAGAAAGCGATGGGAAAACTGAATTTTAGAGTATGAAATACTTTTGCAGTGTATGTAATATGTGTTAGTCATTTTAAAACATGAGATCAGGTAATGAGGGGAAATCTTCCAATGGGAACATATGTTCTGTTGACAACTAAGATACAAATTACACTTACTTTGAGGGGATTTTCATTCAATTCCTGTTGCAGCTCCAAATCAGGAAGTGAAAGGAAAATTATCCCAGAAAGATGCAGACAGCAAAAATAACCTGATAGAGGTTTAAACCCTTCCCTACTCTACCTAAAACAAAACAAAGTTTTGGCTTTACATACCACTTACGCATTAGGACACACCTGCTTACCTTGCTGGTGTACTTCGTATCATATCAGACACTTTCTGCATGTAATCTGTGGCCAGTACAACAACTTCCTCATCCTCTGGAAAGTTTTCATGGAATATTCTGTCCAGGAGGCGTTTCCACTTCAGCTGTGATATGCAAAATACAAATAGAATCTGCATTTTGTTTTTGTTAATGCATTTAATCGTTTGTTTTGCAAAAAATGTTTGTAACATGTAAAGAGGCCTAAAACAATTTCCAAATATACAGTATATGCAGAGCTCAGTAATTCAATGACAGCTGTGGGCAGATTTAGTGGTCAGTGCACCAGATTGATGTTCCAGTCTAGGGTACAACCTATCCAATAGCTTGATATTTCTCTTGGGCACTTTGGTGGCAACCTCTTTTCCACTTCTCGGGTCCTTTTCCACTAAGAAATCGGTGGTAAGGTGGCAATGCACACCCCCAAATATAAAATATAAGATATGTAGCCTGGTTGGTGGCCCTTTTTCAGGGATATATTGAGTAGACGTTAACGAAAACCCTATTTAGTACAGGTGCATAGCATAAATGACTGTACCACCCTTATATTGTCTTTTATGTTGTGTTGTGAGTCTATTTTGAGAGAAAATACAGTCATAGATAGCATCACTATCCCTTCACAGCATGACATCTGTTTGGGGGTATATCTGTGTAGCTATGCATTGTACATCAATAATACTGGGTAACAATAGTTTAAATTATTTCATTCATGTAATGTTGCTTATCTTTCTCATATGTTATTTATTAACAAAGGGCAAAAGTGACAATATGGAGGAAGCAATGCCATTCAATCATCATTTAGCTTTGAGTGATTAAAATGGTTTTCCTTCTACAAACAAATAACATCTAACCCTACTCACTTCCTGTGTTTAGTTGAACATGCTGTAAGGTTTTTTTTAGGTGTTAGCGGCTTTCTATTACAGACTCAAGGTAAAGAATATAACCAACATTTACAATTGTCAGCCAGTATGCTATTTTTAATAATGTATTATTTATCTTAAACAACTTTATGCTTTGCAGACGACTTTTTGCTGTGCTGGGCTTAGTCGTGTTCATACGCATTTATATGCGTTACATGCATTTACACAGCATTAGCTCTGTAAAACTGGGTAAACAGGCCTGGGACACAGAAATTTGTAGTTTGGGTAAACTTAGCAAGACTGAATGCACCTAGATGGTGTTGGACGTCTAGGTGTGCATTCTGTCATAGAAAAGCATTACATGAGCCCAGGTGCATTTAGAAATGTGCTTCAAAACACATCTGCACTTATGTAGCATGAGAGCTTAGTGTTAAGGTAGCAATAGGGTTCGAAATACCCTTTAGATTAAGCTTAGGGTTACCACTTGGGTTAAGATTACAGAATGTGAAGGGCTGCTTTAAATGTGAAGTGCAGGGAGAGTAAAACATACTCTCCCTGCTGCTAGATCAGGCATGGGATGCTTAAAAACACCACATTAATTGCAATAAAACTGTTGATATCATTTAGAAATCTTTTTTTCTGTGGTTAGCTGACCGCAATAGCTCCAGATCGTCACTGCTGAGAAAGCCAGGGTGTGTGGTCTCTTATGCTAATAGCAATCCTTTGCTCTGATTGGCTGCTACCTGACCTCACCTGTCACCATCAGCAGCCGGGGAAGCATGGATCACTCCCTCCAGTGTGGTGATGCCCAACTTTTGATAGCATGACTTACAGAAGCTGCAGTCAGTCATTACAGGCAGGGCTGGAAAGAACTAAGCAGAACACACTCCTACCCCTCTGCTCCATAACTGCTGTTATGCATGGGTGGTTCCATAAATTGTGATGCATTTGTTTTGTCTTTTCTGCAGGAGCCATTGCTGCAAACAGCAGATCTTATGCAGGAAGGGGCACAGAGGTGTGTTAAAGGAGGCATTGTTTGCTTAAGCCTCCCCATAATGCCAATACAACTTTTAGCTCTGCCTGTAATGACTGACAGCAGCTTCTATGAATCCTGCTGTTAAAAGGAAGGGCAGCAGCACACTGCAGAGGGATCTTATGCAAACAGCAATCAACAATTCCTAAGCTGCAAAAGACAGAGCTGTCAGGGATACATAATACAGGGTGCAGGGGTCAGGAATGCATAACACACAGAGTGCAAGCATCAGGGTACATAACTCACAGAGTACAGGGTGTGGGGCATATTCCCCGGTTGACCAGCAACTGTCAGTGCTAGCTACACCCCAGTTATGCGCCACTTTTGTGTACACTAACTTTGACAGCATAACTCCAAACAGGAAAATCTGCCAATCTTTGCAATAAAAAAAATTGCAATGTAAATGTTAACTGAAACCAAAGAATGGATTGAAAGAATGTTATATTTTAGGTTTACACAAACCCCTGTTTGATGAAACCATGCTGCTGGTGTCTTCAGTGCTCTAGTGAAAATATGTGAAAATATGTGAATATATATAGTGACTGTACTTGAGAGAGAAAGCATATTGTCAAAGAATTATGTATGGGTTTTCTTTCCTTGTTGATAGCAATGATGAGGCGTGTTTAATATTGACCTTGATGAAGGGAATGCAGTTCCCCAAAATGCGTTGGATCTACTGAAAACTTAATTAAACAATGCAACAATATAAGGATTACTGTGGTATGGAACATTTCTTTGGACACAGGCAATGCCCCTACTGATGGAGTGGAGCGCTCACATTCCTTTTATTTTGACCTCAAACAGTGAAGACTTAATCAGGGATCACATTACTGTACACTGTCTCCCAAGCTAGTCTTTTGTGGTCTATTTTCCCAAAGGAATACATTTCCATTACCTTTTGTCCTAACAGGCAATTGGGTAAATCTACACAATGGGCTCTCAGACCCCAAAGGAAAATCTGACAGACGTTCTAATTCTTTACCACACTGTCCAAAAATGTAAAATGGTTTTGGCTGGCATAAGGCTGTAACTTCCCTACAGGATCTGACTTACATGCACGTCCCTTAGCTTCAAAATGAATTGCATATTATTCTGAGTAACCATATAATGAATGTGTCATCATTTTGTCAAAATGTACTCATTACAACTGTCTAAATGGTTATTAAGGTTTTTGTGAATCTTGCGTAATTAAAAAAAGATGATTGTAAACAATAAAATATGGTTGTGAGAGAAGTATATAAATATTTAGGGTGTTTTTGGGACTGAACCAATGACATGGAAACATTTTTGTCTCCACAAAGTAACATGATCCATTTTTGTAATGATTAGAAGCTGTCACTTTTGTGTGTAATAAATCTGTCAAAGTTTTATTATTTTTTATGATGGATTCAAGTAGTAATAGCTCTGTTTTCTGGCACAGATTGTGGGAGGGTTGTAGGGCTCAAAATAAATCTAAGAAATCTAACGAGACATATTTGAGTTATTTATATTCATTGGAGTGTAGAAACCTCATAGAAGCATTAGTTATATACTGTGAGGGGTACTTATCAAGACTGGAGCAGAGAGAATCTGCAGCAGTTGCCCATTTCAACCAATCAGCTTTTCTCTTCAGTTTGTTCAGTTAAGCTTTGAAAATTAAAGATAGAAGCTGATTGATTGCCATGCACAGCTGCTCCAGATTCAGCTTTCTCCAGTTTTGATAAATTCCCCCCTACCTATGTTGAGGGTTCTAGAAACAGAGTTAGTATTAGAGCAATAAGTGAGCTATATCTGCATCTATTGCTTATTTACACCATACTGTCAGTTTTTTTTAAGAGACACTGCTAGTTTTCATTCTGGGCACAGTAATAGAGTGTGTGCAAAGGGCCCCCCTCCCCAGACCCATAGATACATACAGTGCTAACCCTAGGGTTGCCACTTGTCTGGGATTCACCTGGACAGTCTGGGATTTGAGTGCTCCAACTATTTAATTCACTTGAAAATGAGACCCCTGGCTGCTTTATATTTCCTTACACAGTTTTACAGCTAAAATCTCTGGAAAGAACCCTTTTCAGATATAAAATATTGTAAGTTGTGATTTGTTTTATATTTACTTTCAAGGGGCATTGCAGGAACAAAAGTGAAACAAATCTACTGTAATCCAGAACATATTGCATCTTTGCTCTTTCAGAAATCTCAATCATTGTAAGGTAATTGCTTGTCAGTGTATATACCTCAGTATCATTGCTGGTCAGTGTATATACCTCTCTGACATTGTTGGTCAGTGTATATATCTCCATTACATTGCTGGTCAGTGCATATACCTCAGTTACATTGCTGATCAGTGTATATACCTCCATTACACTGTTGATCAGAGTGAATACCCCGTTACAGTGCTAGTCAGTGTATATACTTCCGTTACATTGCTGGTCAGTGCATACACCTCCGTTACATTGCTGGTCAGAGTGAATACCTCTGTTACAGTGCTGGTCAGTGGATATGTCTCTGTTACATTGGCGGTCAATGAGAATACCTCTGTTTCATTGTTGGTCAGTGAGAATACCTCTATTACATTGATGGTCATTGTAAGGCCTCCTAACTGATTCTCTCCTGGCCCGCTCCTTGCTTTCTCCCCTCGCTCTCTCCTGGCTGTCTCTCCTTGCTCTCTCTCTCTTTTGGCTGTCTCTCCTTGCTCTCTCTCTTGGCTGTCTCTCCAAGCTCTCTCTCCTGGCTGTCTCTCCTTGCTTTCTCTTGGCTGTCCCTCCTCACTCTCTCTCTCCTGGCTGTCTCTCCTTGCTCTCCCTCTCTTGGCTGTCCCTTGCTCTCTCTCTCTGCTCGCTCTCTCTCCTGACTGTCTCTCCTCGCGCTTTCTCTTGACTAACTCTCCTCTCTCTCTCTTGGCTGTCTCTTGTTGCTGTCTCTCCCCGCTCTCTCTTGGCTCTCTCTTAGCTGTCTCTCCTGATTGTCTCTTTTTGCTCTCTCTCTACTGGCTGTCTCTCCTTACTCTCTCATTTGGCTTTCTCTCCTCGCTCTCCTGGCTGTCTCTCCTTGCTCACTGTCCTCGCTGTCTCTCCTCAAACCCTTGTCTTTCTCTCCTTGCTCTCCTAGATGACTCTCCTCGCTCTCTCTTGTATATTCTTAAAATAAAATTGCCACTAGAGTGTTCGGGTTTTGCTTAACCCCCTGCTGTCAGGGAGTTGTAATTAAACGGCCGGACAGCGGCTTCTTGAATGCGGGATACACGAGATCCGTTTCACCTCCTCCTCCTCTTCGGAATGCAGGCAGTGATGTGTATTACATCACTGCCTGCATTCAGTGTCACTCTCCGGTACAGAAACCGGAGAGAAGCTGGTGAAGCAGCTGTTTGCTTCATCAGCTTATTTGGGGGTCCCTAGGTGACATTAGGGGTCTTAAAGACCCCTGATGTCTCCATAAAGAGGACCTGTCACTGAAAATTAGCTATCACAAAGGGGGCTTGTTAGTCCCCTATGTGATAGCAACAAAGTTAGGTGATTTTTTTTTTTTTAAAGAATTAGTTACAAAAAATAGAAAAAAATGTAAAAAGTCACATATAAAGGTAATAAAAAATGTAAAACATTTTGTTTAAGTCCCAAGCCCCCCACATTCATATGCAAACATGCGTCAAGTGTGAATTTTTTTTAAAGAATTAGTTACAAAAAATATAAAAAAAATTCAAAAGTCACATATAAAGGTAATAAAAAAGGTAAAAAATTTGTTTAAGTCCCCCGCTCCCACATTCACATGCAAACATGCGTCAAGTGTGCCTAAGTGCGTAAACGACGATTGCATCCATTACGCACATATTACTAATTGCCGCAAACGTCGCAGTGAGAGCAATAATTCTCGGCCCATCAATCGCTGATAACATTAACCTGATGAGCGGTAAAAGCTTTAAAAGCGTCGCCTATGGCCAATTTTGGGTATGGTAGTTTTTGCGAGTTTGCGGACGCACGCACTTTTAAAGCTTGACATGGTTGGTGTTTATTTACCCGACGTGACCCCGCCTTTTATATTTTGCCAAAAATTTGGGTAATAGTAACTGTTTTATAACATAACGTAGGGAAAACAGTTTTTCCCCCAAAATTTTCGGTACTTTTTTCATTATATAGTTAAAAAAAAAACCCCAGTGGTGATTAAATACCACCAAAAGAAAGCTCTATCTGTCCCCAAAAAATGGTATAAAATTAATTTCAGTACAGCGTTGCATGACGGAATAAATGTCAGTCAACATACTGCAGCACTGAATACTGAAAAATGGCCTGGACAGGAGGGGGGTGTAAACACCCCGGTAAGCAAGTGGTTAAAGAAAAGCTAGCAACCCTAGCTCCCCCACCGCTCCTTTCTCTGTCCCAGCTGGCACCAAGATCCCCAATCTTGGCCACTGTCAGATGCAAGGGATAGCGGTGAAGTCACTCCCTCAGTCATGTGACAGACCTCAGGCATAACAATTGGCTAATAGACCCAAGTTTGGTTGTCCGCATTTGGGGTGCCATTACCTAGTAATGGCATCGCAAGCACATTCCACGTTTGTACGTGCATCATGAATGCGCGTCAAAGCGCACATTTTTGAGCACTTTTGAAGCGCATTCACAATACACCCTGGTGCGAATGGGGACTACATTGTGCGGGAATCTGTATCCTGAGCTAAGAAGCTATGGTATCTACTAAGCGATAATGCTGCCAGGAATGTAAAGAATCATTTAATCTTACACAGGCCTGTGGACTCTCTTCAAGTTCCCATGTAACAGCACTGAGCCAATCACCAAGCACCAAAGCTGCCACATGGAAGGAAGAGCAGTAAGTCACATGCTCCCCCATTCCTGGAAGTACTGTAATATTTTTGGATTGCGAGGGATTTACAGAACGCTGGGGGAGCAATGGGAAAGTGAATATATGCAGTTGGGGAGTAGGGAAATTATGTCAACCTGTTGCATTTTCCTGCACAAACAAAGCACAGGTTCACTTCAGTGTACATTAATACTTTAACTTTTTTTTCCAAAGTTTAAAGTTAATGGTAAAACTGTTATTGGCAAAACTTTTGAGCTGCTATTTAGGCCTTATTCACACAGGCGTGCTTATTCATATAGAATGCATGCCTGTGCAGAGACCTGCTCTTGGGAGGGAGAGGTGTAGCCTTTAATTGAGTACAGCCACCTGTACATCCCTATGACAGGATGCGGTAACACAATGCTACACGACACCCTGAATCTGCACATCTGTGGAGGTCTGGGTGCACACACTTGGACGCAGACTGTCTGTGTAACAGAAAGTAGGGGCATAGGCAACAATAAAAGTCTGACAAACATTTCAGGCTTTCCCTGCTCTATCCAAAATGAAAATAGAAGCTTTGACTAGACATACACTATAAAGAGAAAAAAAAAACACTTTATATCTATTAGCGATTTATGAACAGCAACAGATAAAAGTCTAAGCAAAATTTGCTCTGGACTGTTATCACATTCAGTCTTCTGTCTGCCTGCTGAAACATCAAAATTGTGTTTGCCTTCACATACACATACATTAATCTTAATTATTTGTATTATATGACATATACATATATTGGATATCTTACATCTGGGGCAATTTGCTGAAGCTGAGGTATGGTAACCTTGTTGTACATGGTGCTGATGTCGCGCCTGATGTCATCAAATTCTGAAATGGTGATCTAATGGAAGATGAAAAGAGATATTACAAAGTTACACATTTGCTGACAACAAATCAGATATAACATTATTTAAATAAGTAACACTTACATTGGCCAGATCCTGCTCCAGTTGCAGAATTTCCTGTACTTTTTTCTCTATATCTTCCACTCCTAAGAGACTGAGTATCTTCTGCATGAAAATCTTGTAAGCAGCCAATATCTATGGTGTTTAACAAAACAAGGTTTTGTGCTCAATAATGTAGCACTATCAGTGCATACAAAATATATATTGTGAAATGAAACCATATCAGCACACATTTCTTAAACACCTTTGCTGTGAAAGTTAACATTTTGATGATTTTTCTCAATTTACTTTTGTAATGAATAAAATTCCTATCTTAGCTGACAGATAAAACCATAATAACTCGATTCCCTAATGGAACCGTCTTTCTCCAAACTGACAATGATCACATTATTTTTACAAGTTTACTCAATAATTACACTTGGATTAAAATGTATTTTAAAAGTACTTTAAAATTAAATTGGAATGTTTAAAATAGCACCTTAGCAGTATTAAATAGTGGTGCACTGAAATTAAATTTTTAAAACTGAAACAAAACCGAAAATAAAGAAAATGTCAGGCCAAAACTGAAGTTTTTTTTTCTAATCTTTTCAAATTTTTAAAAATATTTTTTTTAACTTAACTGCTGGGGGCTTTGGGGAAATATCAGGGGTCTAAACAGATCCCAGATATTTCCCTTTTAAAATAGAAAAAGAGTGACACAGACACAGAGTCCTCAATCTCTTTTTCTGCACCCCCTGTTATAAATGATTATAACTTTATGCTGAGTGTTCCTGTTCATTCATAACTTCTAGAGATAGTATGTTTACCATGTCCACAATCATGAATGAACAGGAAGTGATGTAGAGCACTTCCCATTCATTCATGATTGGGGACATAGTAAACATACTATCACCTCAATTATTTACAAGCAGTCAGCGATCACTGATCATTGACTGCTAGTGCCCGCTCTCCATCCTGGCTCGCTGTCACAGGAGGCTGAGCAAACGGTGCAGGGAGGAAAGCTCGTCACTTGTGACAGCTATCTCCTCCCCCACAACTCCAGCCCGGCCTCCTGTGACAGCTGACAGCTATCTCTTCCGCCACACCGCTCTCCTGATCTGTCACAGAGAAGAGCTCGGCATCTTGTGACAGTTTCTCTCCTTTCTGCTGGATGCTGCATTGTGTCAGAGGGGACACAGAGCAATGCGCAGCGGGGAGGAGAGAAACCAGACATGCACCCAAATTTAAGCTGAAAGATGCCACTTTCCGCATTTTGCCAAAAGTGCCATTTTCGGCCGATAAGTTTCCGTGGCCGAAATTTCAGTGCATCCCCAGTATTAGAGTATAGTACCATGTATAGTGCCATCAATTAATGCAGAAAGTTTGGAATTTAAAGGACAGCTCTGGGCAGAATTTTTTCTTAACCCTTGCAATGGGGCTACCTCCGCACTTCAAGGGTTAAGTGCTCATTTGTGCCTAGTTGCTAATAAAAAAAGTTATACTCACCCAAACTGCAGAGCCAGCTGGCAGCTATTCTAGTCTCTGAAGCCTGTCTCCCCCTCCTCTGCAAAGAAGGTATGTCCCTAGTCATCCTCGTGTCCTATACACTGTATAGATCGTGATGACCCTAAGGATCCTTAGACCACTGCAGCGGAGCGGAAGAGAGGCTCCAGGGAGCACTTAACCCTTGAAGTGCGGGGGTAGCCCCACTGCAAGGGTTAAGAACCACTTTGCCCAGAGTTCTGCTTTAGGTCACACCCTTTTACGGTTAACTTAAAGTGACATTAAACCCTCAGATTTTTTAACATAAACCAATACTGTAATGTGTGCCTTACTGTAATCCATGGTAGTTTCCCTTCTCTTTGCTGCTCTTCCTTTTAAATCCTCATGTCTTCTCATGCTTGGGGAGAACTTCCATTTGCAGCTGAGTGCCTCTTCCTGTAGTGCTGGCTCAGGTTGCAAACTTACACACAGACACCATGTAGCCATTCCAGAGACAAGGCAGTCTGCTGCAAAACAGAAGTTCTGCTCAGCATGAGAAGAGATACAGATTTAAAAGGAAGAGCAGCAAAGAGAAGGGAAACAATCATGGATTACAGTAAGGCACACATTACAGTATTGTTTTATGTTAAAAAATCTGAGGGTTTAATGTCACTTTAAGATATAAAAGATGACAGAAATAATATCCCCAGATTCAGTCTTTTACACTATAAATAGTCTGGAAAGGACAATCAGGTCCCACTGCTGGTCACCTACAAGACCTGGGCACCTTTGTGCAACCTAAAGAGTAACAACGTGGCACGCTATGCGGCAAACAGTGGGTATGGCAATATTGCTGTAATGGTGGGAGGAGCATGGCTAGATAATACCTGATCGTTCTTGCTATATAGATAAAGCAAAACAAACGACAAACGCACTCAACAATTTGTTACCAGGTGTACAGTAAGGTGCACACGAAATGGGCTTTGAACAGTAGAACAGTAGAAAGGCATCATGGCACACTCACAAACTAGCATGTAAAACAACTTGTCTCACCACTAAGGACAATGACAGAGGTTTGGATACACGTCTTCTGCAAAGGATGTGTAAGCCGCACTGCCGCGCCAAGGCACCTCTTATAGTGCGGTCCTAACTCTAAACTATGAGAGTCTCCATCTTGGAGCACATGGGGCAGAAGATATCAAAACTATATAGATGGCACACATATGCTACAGTACCTGAAAATACACTTTAGTTGTACCACAAGCGGGAGTCTTACAGACATGCATAACCTCAGCACATTTTCTATTTTCATATGCCGTTTTCAGTGCACACTGAAAATAGACAAAGAACTAATACTCTGTCAGATTCTACTTTAAAAAAAAAAACTTAATTGAAACATTTAGAGAATGCTTTGCAACCTCTTTAAAATAGGCAAGGGCAGCGTAGCAACTAGCAAATGTTGAGTCAATAAACACTTTGGTCAGATGTATGTATTGTACAAATAGTGTATATAATGCAGGAGTATGTAACACGAGGTGACAGGTTGAAGAATATATAATGCAGTTCAGGGGTCAGAAATACATAACACAGAGTGCAGGGGTGTGTAATGTACAGATTGCAGGGGTCAAGAATGTGTAACGCATTGGGCAAGGAATATATAAAACAAAGAGTGCAGGTGCCATAAGTGTGTGACACACAGAGAAGTGTGTAGAACTCCTCCCAGAACAATCTTCACCCCCCAAATAAACACTCTTTCTAGCACAAGTCTTTACCCCCAAAAAAATCTCTCTTCCCAGCAAATAATCAACCCTCCATACAAATCTGGCCAGCACAATCTGGCCTCCAGGCCAACCTCCCTTCCTCCCTGAATTCATTAGACCATGATGAACAATGGGATTCTTCCCAGGTTCCGTCTCAACGTGTCACTTGACGCTGCACAGCCGAGGAAGAACCTAAGGAAGATTCCCTCAGCTCTGAATTCGAATTCTCTGACAGGTAGCATGGCAGGGAACAATGCTGACTGCCTCAGTGGTGGGCAGTTGTGATGTTGGGACCTGGGGTACCTGGCAGGAGATGTGAAGAACGTCTCCTGTTTGCCTGGGGCTAGTGATGCACCTCTTCTGCACAAGGATGAAAAACATCAAGAAAAATGTTTCAAGGAAAATAGGTGCATTTAATTTTTGGTTGTATTACGGATCATTTTTGTACTTCCGTAGTATATGGACATTTTAAAAGGATTTTCATTTGAGGTTATGATTGTGCCTGTATTTTTTATCTGTGAGTAATTTACCTAGGGCTTTTTTTCTGGTGGTAGGCACTGGTATGCAGTACCGGCACCTACGCCCTCCCTTTCATTATTTTATTTTTTTATTTAATATAAAATTAAATGATTTTTAACAAATTATACGAATTAAAAAAGGTGCCCTTGCTGCAAGCGTTATAACCCTGCGTGGGGGGAATGACGCTTGTCTGTCGGCCTGGCCGTACGGATAATGCGCAATTGTCCAGACACCCATGCAGGGTGATTACGATTGTCTTCTACTGCTGTTTACCACAAAAAAGATTGCCGGCGACAGTAAACCTCATTGCCGGCGGCCATCTTGCACATGCTCAGTGTGTCCCGGCTACCACAACCAAAATGGCTTCCGGCACTGAGGTTTGTTGTCGGCAGCCATCTTTTTTGTGGCAGCAGGGACATACTGCACATGCACAGTGTGTCCCTGTCCACAACAAAGATGGCCACCATAGTAAGTACCAGCCCCTTTTTGCCCAGAAAAAAAGCACTGCATTTACCCCAATAACACCTCTACAATGACCCCTATCTTTATAGTCTAACACTTTTCAATACCCTTTACTACTCAAATGTGTCAAGAAAAACTGTTTTAATAGTTATATTTCATTGCTCTTCTTTGTAATTCTGTATATAAATATGTGGGTCTCAGAACCATTTTCAGAAATGTATTAAGCCTGAAGTAGAGACCTAAAGCATCCTAAATGCTTGCATCTTGAATATCTCAATTTAGCCAATAAAGGTCATCACCTACACTCCAAATTTTCTGAATTAGTACCTGAAATTCAATATTGACTATTGTACCTTTTCGCTGTCTTCATCTTGTCCTAAGTACAGCGTTCTCTCTGGCAAAGTTAGGCCATCTTGATCAATCTATAAAGGAAAAAAAGGAACTATTACATACAAATAGAAATGGTGAGCGTTTTAGTAAAATGTGCAGGATACCGACCCTAGGAAGGGGTTATTTCTAGCAATTGAGTAAATGCATGAATAAAAAATATGCTTTTAATTATTTTCATAAGTTTAGGTGCTTATCATTACTTTTCTTTTAAGAGATAACCGGTGCATGTCTTTCCTTTGGGGATTTATGAAAGCTCTTACAGAGATAAATGTGAAGAAAAGTCTGTCACATGCTTTAAATATCTGAGCTATACAAGTTATAAGCTTTTATAGGCAACATCACTTTTACTCCCTGCCTAGCCATGGAACAGTTTCTACTTACATCAATGAGTGTTCTGTAAATTGCTGGGCAGGTCCATAAACTGATGGTATATAATGGAAATCTGCAGATTAGCAAAGAACTCCGGCGGTGCAGATCAGGAGATTCGATGAAATGCTGTGTGATAATTATACTCTGTGTTCCCAATCCTCTTATCTACACCTTTAAAGTTATTGGGGGGGATTTATCAAAACTGGAGAAGACAAAATCTGGAGCAGCTGTGCATGGCAGCCAATCAGCTTCTCTCTTCAGTTTGTTCAGTTAAGATTTGAAAATGAAAGAGAGAAGCTAATCGGTTGCCATGCACAGCTGCTCCAGATTTTGTCTGCTCCACTTTTGATGAATTCCCTTTCCGGTCTTTTAGAAGTTTCAGTAGCCTTGTTGTTAGTAGGTGCCTTGTTCTGTGGGTACGTTCCTGAAATTCTAAGGACATGCCTCTTTAAGAACAGAGGATCAGGTACGCAGAAAGGTGTGATGGTAACAGATTACACTAGCAACACACCCTACATCATTTTACAAGTGCAGATTACCCTGATAAATTTAATAGGATATGAACCATTCCATTCCATGGATAATGAGAAGTTGCAATAGATTTTTATTGCAATGTAATCCCATCTACCTGGTTGTTGGGGACTTCTGTGGGGAGAATTTAGAACATGAAATGCTTCTGGAATGAGGCTTTTTCTAAAGTGCCAGCATATACTATCCTGCTATAACATCATCAATGCAATAGGAATACATGCTAGAGTTGTGTTTGATAATACAATCAACGCTTACTTGAAATAAATCCCTTTTATGTAGTGAGTACTGCCTACTTTCAAACCACTTTCAACAACATCTTGGTTTCCCAGTGTGCTTTGCATCTCTTTCCCTGCTGCTTCATGTGATGCAATCCCAATTTCTCAAGATGACATATCCCAGCATGCATTGCTTCCAGCAAGAAATGATAATGTTACATTGTTCAGATCCTGAGATTTTATTTCAGACAGCAGGCTTTGTTGGAGTGGTAACACAAGAAGTGCATATTCACAGGGCTGAATGAAATTGTGTCATGGGTTGAGGAAGTACTTCTTATGGAAATCTTCAATAAGTAAGTTTACAAACTTCTAGATCACTATGGTTATTCGGCGTGGGACAGAACTATTGAATGGAAATTCAATATAAAAATACATATTTATTTTTAGTTTTTGACCATAGAAACCCTTTAAAGCTCCAAGCAGCTTTGGCAGCTAAGTGAATAACCCCCTTAGTATCTCTAAGTAAAATACAGTATTCTGCTCAGAGATACTTTGTATCAATTTATAAACACAGCTGGCTAGCAGTTCAGAACACTGCTGAACTGCTGCCAGCTGTGTGACTGTCACAGCTCTGCAATCACAGCAATCAGCTCTTGCTGTGATCACAGAACTGTGACCACCTAATCTACTGTTGAGAGTCTGCCTCGAACCCTGAGGGACCCATCAACAACAGTGACTCAATGAGCTGCTGGTCCCTTCACAGACCAGCGCCCATTGTACCGTATGTCGGAATTATCCCATCACCGATCATTTTTCTTTTAGAGCCCGTGGACGTGCATCATAAAACAAACTTCCCCCTGTGAACAAAAAAAGTGAACCGTGAAATCACAGCACACAAAAACGTGCACAAGGGTGCTTGGTCCTTCAATAAAGAAGGGACCTCAAATTCCCGACCCCCCGGGGCGCAAGGCTCCTGACAGGGGTTGAGATACTTTGGTCCACCAGCCCGGAGACTGGCGGACCCCGATCCTTCGGGGACCTGCCGAGACAGGTCCCACCCAGTACTAGGTAGGGAGCTCTCCCGAAGAGAGACTCCCTGGTTCGGGAGAAGGCAGAGAACCCTATATTAGGGCACAGAACCTCCTCCCCAGCATCAGGAATAGGCCCCGAAGGAACCTGCACCCTAAGCAATCTGTGGGTCACAATAGAAAAAATAAAAAAGTGCCAATCGTGCATGAGGTGCAATAAATAAAGGAATAGTGCCAGTGCACCACGCTGACAGGCCCTAGGGGCCGGGTGCTAAAAAATTGCCCCGGACTAGCCATAAGGCCTGTCCAAGAGGCGTTGTGCAGAAATTGCAAGGTGGTGTGTGACCAAGTGCACAGTGAGTCAAAGTGGGTCTCCCACACCCAAGTGACTTTCTGAGCACCCCTGGGACGCCACCCCCAGGGGGCACAACACCACGGGCTCTGCCGCCTCCCAACCCTCTAGCCTCGACCAAGCTTCGCAGCCATTCCCATCAGAAGGTAGTGCCGTCAGGGGTCCATCCCTACCACCGGTGACAAGCCCAGCATCACTGGGCCAGAATCTAACCAGGAGGGACTGTACCCCATCTGACACCCACCAATTACGCCGGTAAATACTAAGCCACCATCCTAATCACCTCGAGAAGGAGTGGTGTCGTTCTTCCACCGGCAACTGATAAGAACAGATACTACACTTGATCTTAGCCAAAAGGCCGAGAAGCGATCATTAATGTACTTAACAATGGTGACGTGACAATTCCATCATTGGTCGGGAAGGGGTTAAACAAACCCACAACCTGCTCAAAAACATGAACTAATGGTGACTTTACTTGAAATGTCACAAAATCTATTTCAAACTTTCTCAGAAGAAATAGTTTGTGGTTGAAATTTGGGATGCTCATTTCCTTTTCCTGCTGCTACCGCTCATATTTTCCTGCTGCTGCCTAATTGACCCAGAATGCTTTGCAACCAGCAGGGCATCAGGAACAGCAGCGGTTTGAAAAATAAATTACCGGCAGCGATAATAAAAAAAAATGTAACCTTAAAAAGAAGCTAAGATATTAAAGTTAGTGTCCAGACAGAAAGTCTTATAGAAAAACCACAGGAAAGAAAAGCATGTGTCCAGAGAATGTTCAACACACTGAATACATTGAGTTGTATTTGAATGCTACACATGTATATCCAACCATACCATTTCTGTGCAAAAGTATTTTTTCAGTAGACAAAATAAAGCAATACAATACACATTCAACATGGCTATTTTTGCCCATTTTAGCATTTTTAGCTGGTATGCCTAGTTTTTACCTTTTTGTTACATTAACACTTTCTGGATTATATTTAGCTTTAACGAGTTAAAGTGGCAATAAACTCAGGAGTTAAATCAAAAACATGCATTCAAGTTCCTCAACTATTAACAAAAATGTAGTCTATTTGTGCATCGCTCACCTGTAGATCTTCAAATCATCTCTGAAGTCATGCTGACACTGTCCTTCCTTATGGGGAGTGGCTACTTTTGTTCCCCATGGTCCCTGTGTGTGTGTTGTAAAGTAGCCACCACTCCAAATTCGCTCCTGTGATGGAATACAATCTCATGTTTAGTTTACTAATTTGTATTGAGATTGTAGTCCATCACCGGAGTGAACTTGGAGCGGTGACCTCTTTACAACACACAGGGACCATGTGGAACAAAAGCAGCCACCCTCCAGAAGGAAGGAGGGTGTCAGCACCAATTCAGAGATGATTGGAGGATCTACAGCTGAGTGATACACAAATAAGATACATTTTTGTTAATAGTAAGGCCTGGTTCACACTAAGCAATTTGTAGCACTTTTTCTGCCCTAAAAAATGCTTACATATATGCCCCCCAAAAAATCCCATTCATTTTTGTGGCCTTGTTCACATCTGAGCATTTTGTCGCACTAAGCAAAACGCCTGTCACTGGAAAAAGTACATGAGCTTTTATTTTACTATTACTGCTGGTTGTGGCCCCATAGACTCAATAGGAAAGGCTTGAAAACAAGTGATTGCTGTGTTTTTGTGCGTTTTTATGCACGTTTGCTCATTAACATCAATGGGCTACAATCTGCTCACAAAAACGCTGTCGCCTAGTTGTGAACCCAGCCTTAAAGTACTTGAATGCATTTTTAAGGTTTAACTCCTGAGTTTACTGTCACTTTAAATTTTTAACGAATAATGTAGATATTACACAGAACAACTTTAGAAATAGGCACTATTGCAGAGATGAATAATTCCCATACAACACAACATAATATTAACTTTCCTTAACCTTTTATAAACTGGCCACACAGTAAACAACCTCTAGCAATTACTGCCTGTTCATGGAGGTCAATATGATCAAGACATGGATGTTGCCCAATTCCTAGAGATCAATGAAAAATATAATTAAATAAACACAAGCAATGCTGCTTTACATTTTCTACTAAGTCTGTGAAATCCTGGTAGAGTGGGTAGATAAAAGGAGACCCAGAGGAATAATAAAACGCTTTATATGCAGAAGTAAAAAGTTGTGAGTTTCCTATCTTTTGTTTTAATCAGTCCCTTTTATGATCATTTCACTATTTTTGAACCTTTTTTTTTTGTTTGTTTTAGAAAAGTCAAATTAATGCTAATAATTCTGCAAACTTCAATGTTTCTCCATGGTATAGTATTCTAACATGCATGTATTGCCGGTTCTGTCCTCTACAGTATGTCTGTGTTTCTCCCTCCCATCATTTCTCTCACCGTTCTGAAATTCTTCTTTGCTTCTACTTTACTACTTGGCCTGTGCTTATGAGGGAAGCCAGCCAAGACATTAGAACAAATTATACAGTATGAAAAAAGATAATCTATAAAGTGATTCTGAAGGTCGCTGTGACCTTTTGCAGAGCTTGC